ATTTGAACACGCTCGGTTGTCGTAAAGTTAAAAAGGGAACCGCTTGCTGTTCTGCTTATGTCAAACTTTTATACAATTCCCAGGGAAAACTAGTGACAAAACTAGAGCGGAAAACGAGATTTATGAAAATTTTGTTTATACCAATTTGGATTAACAAAGTACAGTTAATTTTGTAGTAGATGATGACACATCTGTAGTAGTTGTTAACATCCGTTAAAAAGCTCTTTTATAGGGCAATAAGTTCTAGGCTGTACTGCCGGCATAGATTTTTGATATTAGTATAAGTATTTTTCGCTTAGACACCATAGGAGAGGGGATATGAAAATTACAACTACTAATGGAGTGGGAGGGCGTTATCGAAATACTGTAGCTATAGCCTTACAGGGGGTGAAACCAATGTCCTCTGACTTCCCAGGCAATCAATAATGACTGGTCTTAAAGAATGCAAATATAACCAAAATAATAATGATTAATTTGGCAAATTAGGAACAGAGAATACAAGCTAAAGTCTTTTAAAAGATTTAACTGAATCGTCAGAAAGTTAGGTTAGATAATGGACTCCTACATAAAAGTTAGTAAAGATGAAGTACAGGCTGATAGAAGGCCATGATTACAAACTGAAAGTTCTTCACTTAATTCCCAATGCGTTAATCGCAAGTCAGATTTGAGAAAGAAGGTCAGGTGTCTTTTGGTGTGTTAAAAACTTTCTTAGTGAAATGAGAAATTCTAAAAATATTTTTAATCAAAGTTAGTTCTCCATTTTAAAGAATCAGAATATAATTTGTTTTAAAGTATCCATTTGATACTAATCAAATATACGTTGAATATCCCTCCTTCCTTCCTTTACTCTTGGGAATTTCATCGCTAGATTTACTGATGTTCCACACAGAAGAGTAGTTTGGATGTAATAATGGGTTAAGCGTTACTAGAATAGAATGTGTTGCGGTTCACTTCATTTTGGTCAACAATTCGTTGACGCTCTCTCACGTTCACTTTTATGTGGTGAAAAACATAATTGATTATATTAAAAGACCTTAAAATAGAAGATCAAAATAAATTTCAAAAAAAATTTCCCACCTTGGGTGTGGGAAAAAAACTCAACATCGACAGATGAATAGCTGTTTTTCATTTAAGCGAGGAAACCTCTCTAGAGGAGGAGCGGTATTTCTGCAATTGGTCTGGTTCGATTCTAATTCTTCATTTAATCTTAGAACGATTCCTAAGCCGATTGTTTCGTTGATTGTCATCAAAAATAGTAAACAGTGTTACTTCAGTACGCAAGCTTATGTTGGTAATCCAACAATTTCGTATCTTGTTTTCCGCCGTCCAAAGATTGAAAGCATGAATGCACTCAGAAGTGATGCAAAAGTTATGTAATGATTTTACAATGCTTTAGACTAGTCAAAAGAAAGAACAGGCAGATTTTCTCTTCTCGACATTGCTGAAGACTTTTTCAATTGTGTCAGTGATGGAAAAAGAAATCAGCAAATCACGGTACATTACTCCGTTTCCTTTTTTTGTTTTTGTTTGTTTTTATTCAAGTTATTCGGCTCGATACAACGTTTACGTATCTTTGAGCTGCTTGGGCAACATTGTGCGTTAATCTAAAGTAAATAACAGTTGTACACTGTATTATAGAGGAAATTGCATTGAAGTGAGACTCAGTTTAACAATGGACCGGACTCATGTATATGAACTGTGCACTAGGCACATGTTTGACATAAAATATAAATCATATCAGATCATAGATCGTACAGAACGGGGTCACGTCTCACATGTAACGCTAGAAACCGTGCAAAATATTGCTTTCTTTCACGGAGTCACATCTCCTATGGAGCGAGCGAGGAATGTGATCGGTGCGAAGCGGAATTTAGCAAAAACAGATGTATCTGACAAGGATTAATCATTCATTTCCAAGGATGTTTGCAAAGTTCTAGTTTAACAAAAGAGTTAGACTGAACATTAGTAAGCACTGATTTCTTAGTACAATAGCTCATAGCCACTTTTATTCTGTCTTTAAGAATTTTTTTAAAACGTTATCTTCATCAATTCGGTCAGTTGTCCATTCACGACCGGCCAAAAGGTTCCCTTGGCTTTCATTTCTAACCTTATTTAGTTATAGTTATCTGCAGGGTGGACTGAAAGGTTACAAAGCGGGGACCAAGGATGTCCACTCGTGTTGAGAGTGTAAATCAACAAAGGAAATCCTCCTTACGAGGATATTGATTTCTTGAAGCGTGACAAATGTGAGAAATTTTCCTGTGAAGCATCTGATGCAGTTTGGGGTAGAACTGCGTGTCTTGAATTACTCTATTTCTAAATCTTCTACAATCGTGGTTTGCATACAAATCTTCTCGAACTGACTGAAGTCTAACTCTTGGTTTTAGACATAGGTTTTGATCAAGTGTAAACTTAGCCCATGTTTAGTCTTCCTTCCGGATTACTGCAGAAAACACAAGTTCGTGATGGAATGTTTTATTGTTCTTTCCAATAGTTGTTTTCATAGTTGCATGGGTAAAAAGACCAAAAGAAAAACAGTAACGCCTGAAGAGCCGTTTGTAATAAGTTGTACAACGTTGATCTATGTAATTTTAATGTATTTCCTGATAGTTTTAGATTAGAAATCACTAGTTTCATATCAGTTTATGGGATTGACTGCGATTGAAAAGTTAACTCAAGTTGAATACCAAAAATGAAGAAGTCATGTGGCTAAACATGTTTGAACAAATCTACTGTTATATCAAAATTAAACTGCGAGTTTCGAGCCTTAAGAAGTGGTTTCTTTTGATTGACGAGTCAATGGTTCACATCTAACTTAATTTTTCACCTTTTCATTTTTATTTACTTATTTACTGTAGGGGCAATGTAACTTTTAAGCTACAAATTGTTGGTTTGGAAGAAATAATGAAAGTGATCTTACAAAGCAGTACAATTTCACTCTTCGCCTCGAAGGTTAAATAATAGAAAGACGAACACCGTTTTTGCCAGCCCTAAGTTAGTTTGATTCATAGTTTTACTCGTCATTATTCCTGAAATGAACGACATAATTCAGTCTTTCACAAATAATTGGATGACTGAAAGGAATAATCAAGTGAAAATATGTTAATTCGATCGATCGAAGAGTATCCCATAGTAAGAATGCAATTTTACATTCAGAGAGGGAGGTAAAAGGTACAGTCCCCACGCAACAGCCAATTTTCGAGAGCAGTAGAGCTACCTGCCACTTGTGACGCAAATCAAACTCTTACCTCTGGGCCATTTCGGTTTAAGGACAAGGAGGGTAGATATCACAGAACAAAGGTACTTCCTTCCGGCCTTATTTCAAACGAAAACACTCGATCAAAGTTCGTGATGGAATGCTTTTACTTGGCAGAGAGATTTTAAATTCCATTCTATCAACTGCAAACAATTACTAAAACAATAGGAGGTGTGTCACCGCAGGGAAATGTACACAGTACTGGTTCGAGAATAACTAGAAATGAAATACAAACCAGACGTAAGGAACTGGTTTGTTTTTAACCTTACCTTGACAATGATTTAAAAACGTTCGTGCTGATTGTCACAAAGAATGACACGCCCACATGTTCCCGTCATCGGTACGGCAGACACCGCTAGTTGATGTTAAGTCCTTTATACCCCAATATCAGATGTCTTTTTTCTCATATCCTGTAGTCTAGAGGGAAGTTGCGCCTGAAGATAACTCAATTTAAGTTGTCTTTTCTCAAACATGAGAATAACATTGGATAAGTAGCACAATACTGGAATTTTGCTCTATAGTATTTATAATCAGTTTAATATTTCTAAAAGTTTAAATACTATACATCCGACATTCCTGATTTTCTATAGTTTTGGTTTTCGGTTGAGACAAATTTATCAAACGGTGGCGCGGTGTCACCTCAGACACTCAATCGTGGTGGGTATGGCATGTACCATCTCTTGTTTTTATGTCTGCAAGTCTGAGGCGCCCGTGTATTAGGAAGAACAACGCGTTTTGTATGTGTGGTGTTTTTTTTCCGCAGGTTCCTACTCGTTGCAGTTCGATCAAGAGATCATTCGGATCCTGTGCTTACGACAAGGGGCTCCTTAACGTGAACCCGAGAGGAAACTATATCCTCTTGCTTTTTTGAAATTTTGTAAGAGCAAATTGGAATATTAGCAACTAAAAGTGACTCCACTCTGATTTTCAAAGTCATTCTCAACACCTCCCCAGGCACTTAGTAAAATTTTCTGGAGGATATCGTTCAAATTACTACGATCAAAGGGTGGTCGTGATACTCAGAGTTCATGCTGAGAACTAAACAAGATGCCGCTGCTCCAAAACGGCGGGGAAGCCGTGAGCCGAACGGTGCTTTGCATGATCTTAAGTATTGTCATAAATTTCATTGTGCATTTATCCATCGTAACCCTTCCTGCTTTTTAGCACTTTGTTTTCTTTGGAAAATGATCTTAGTCAAATAAAATAAGGTTGACCTACAATTGTGGACTTAAATGACTGACTATTCGTTTCCGAATTGGATCGCACAATGTTATGTGCGCAATCTAAGATTGAAAAATTACAGATTAATCTGTCTCTGCATCGAATACCTTTTCAAATGCTTTGCAAATTATGATTTCCCGTCCGGAAAGTGGCAGAAATTGAAGTTTAACTGTGCTACTGTTTCCTCGCAAAGATGTGCCCCTCAGCACGAAAGTGTGGCAATGCTAGTTTGTATTTATTTCTGTCTTAAGTCGCACCACTTAACTTATACCACTTTTCTCCCTCTTACTAAAACTAGTCATTTCTCACTGCGCTGTGTGACTTCTAAAGTTTGTCCCAACAAGCGATGAAAGACTTTTCCGACGAAAGCACGGGAGTTCAAAGGGAGTGTAAATGTCTGCTTCCTGACCGCAACCTATTTACAGTATCTCAACGAGCCAATTAAGTTACAGTACTCCAGAGTCATAATTAGCCGGTTATCAAAGCGCGAGACTGGAGTCTCCAAACTAACTTATATTGGTGCCAAGCAGCCGAGAAGTTGACTGCTTGTAAGAAATTTACCTGGGAAGGGACATAATCAGTTGAGGCAATATGTCTTCTAGAGTGAAATATGGCTCGGCTTTTTCCCCTGTCATCCCTTCTAAATCCGTCTTAAATCATCCTTTCTCCATTAAAAACCTGCTCAGTCTCTGCGACGACCGACGAGGTGAAGACAACGAACATAATAAAAGATTCGCCAATCTTTCCCCTGCCAGCGAAAACACGGCAAGGAAAACACGCCCCGTGAAAGAGGGCACAGGTTTGAGTGCAGCACAAGGTAACTTCGATCTAAACAGTGTCTGGCCGGCATGGGTTTATGCTACGAGATATTCGAGGCACGGTATCCCTCCAGGTTAGTTATAATATAAATTAGATTAAAAGATATGACGAAGCCTTGAAGCTACGTTATACATAAGTAAAGCGGTGCAACATTTTCTACCTTAACAGACTCCCATCGGAACTGCAATAAATCATGTATGACCCGTCTCAACGTGATACATGAAATAGCACCTTCTTGGAGAGCATAACTTTTCACTTCATAAACAGCTATCCAGCGTGCGATTTCTGAACTTGAATTAAATTTAAAAAAACATATCTGTGAAACGTATTCTTTCCCCAATTTATGTTTCAATCGTGCAAAGGTTAACTTCTTAGGGTAATGCTCTTTTAAATAAATACGCTAAAAAGGGCTTGCACATCTAATACACCAAACAATAATACTCGCAATGAAATATAAATTTATGTGGCTTGCAAGCCTTTAGCTTAGGCCGTAACATTTTGTATAATGTTTGCGTCAGAATTTCAAAATACACACCAAAGGAGGTGAACAATCAGAGATGTGTCTTTAAATATAATACTAACATTAGGCCAATATCGTATAATAATTTTTTTTGAATGGTGAAGTGTAACATTTATCTATTCGAAGAGGAACTCCGTGAACCACTACATATTCAGTGGGTAATTAGAAGGGGTGTTTACCGACCTTTTAATTGCTCGGAATCAGAACAGGAAAAGACATAAAACGAAGTTTCATCGGATTTTACAGCTGCCGGTTTCCCATGATCTGATTCTTTGGCGTTGTTTCTGTAGACATTGTTTGGGAGCTTTTCAAAGTGGAAAAAAACCGTCGACTGCATTAGTCAATTGTTTAGATGTATCAAAGAAGTTGCGAAAACGACCTCAAAGGTGCTAACTAAGTTAGCCAAACATGATTAGCGATGGCTAAAATTATCAATCACTTTCGGAAATATTTGGAAAGTTCAAACTGATTTCCTGAAGCGTAAAATTGAAGCTTAAGTGGACCGAATATGAGAGGACGCTAGCGGATGTGCTATATTTATTGGCTAAGAGTAACCTATAAGCATTTCCGCTGGACTCGTGTGTTCCCCACGCACACGCATACGAACAATACGTGCAATGGTAAACATCTCCACTTTAATAAAAATACAATGGAACTTCGAAAGCTGGCACTATTGGCACAATCTGACGTGCGATTTACTGACGTGCCTGAATAAACGGAATCCTTTCAAAATGCATTCAATTCCTCTGATTCACAGAAACCATTGTGATATTGATAGATTTGTCAGACTGAAAAAATGATCATTTTACCGTGACCTGTGATACAGGTGGAAATTGACATTGTTATATCTCACCAAGAGATTCTGGAAAATTTACGTCGGTAGCCGATGAGGAACACACATTACACTCAAGCACTGATTTAACAGTTCTGGTTCGTTGTCAGGCTTTGGAAAAAACTGCGACGGACATGAAGGTCATGAAGAGCAAAAAAAATGCAAGGAAAAGTTATGCTGATAACTCCCCAATCATATATCTGATTTCTCAGTAAATGGGTACTTTCAGCTCTGAATGCGTCCTCTCCACGAACTGGAGAAATGCAGAAAATTGAGTTTGCAAACTCCTATGTTCATTTGCAGTAACTTGCACATATTGCAGTCTTTTGGGCTTAGTTGGTTGTTACTTTTATTTTTCTTTTTTAAGCCCAAATATTAACTATTACGGTTAAAGACCTATTATGTTATCAACTGATTTAACTTACAGCAAACTATGCAAACCCACGAAGGCCTCGCAAACCTATCAAGAGACAGAAGCAACGGCCTCTTTTCTCGCCAGAACAGCTCCAAAAACTCGAAGAAGAGTTTGTCAACGAAAAATACATCTCCAAGTCTCGACGGTGTAAACTAGCCGCAGAAATAAGCCTTACTGAAGCGCAAGTCAGAACATGGTTTCAAAACAGACGAACAAGATGGCGTAAAGAAGTACATGAAGAGGACGACGATCCCAGCTGGACCACGCACACTGGAATGGCAAAATATGACGCTAGTGTCTTAACTGCTAACTGTATGATAGTACGAGGATATTGCTCATCTTGAAACTGTGACTTCCACACAGATGCATTTACCCTCATGATTTTAAAGTCCTGTTAGTTACTTTTTCTCCGACAATAACACTCGTGCAGTGCAGTAAACTGAGTAAGAAGAATATTTGTCATCAATAAAATACGTGGCAAACCAAAGATTTCCAGGCAAAATGAAAGATAGAAGACAAAATTATTCGACAGATTATGCGTGTATTTTTTGAGCAAATGAAAAATCAGCTTATAAAATTAACTGATGCATTTTAGATCGGTAAGGAAATTTCCAGAATGGGAAATTAGATTGGCAGCCGTGATCACCATGGAAAGCTGATTATCCAGGGCTGCTGGTTAAAAATACGAGGCCTTGTACACGTATTTCAAGGAGGCGAGTATATTCACTGTGGCCGTTTTAATGATGAAAGTTACATTTTTTGTCTCAGGACTCGGCTATAAAGCTGAAGTGCGGAAAAGCACAATCTTAGGGAGTTCGCATCGCACCATCGATGATTTGTTTCACTCGAGTTAGTTCTTCTACCACGGTGTTATTTCCAGACCATTTGCTTGTCAGGTTAGAGCGTGTCATTTCGGTGAATTTTGTACATTTTAATACCTACAGAAAATTTTTTTGTGAACGCACACTCTTAAAGAGGTGGTGTTGCGTTCCCAAGAAGGCTCTTGTGCAACTTCACCAACTCAAAAATCTTGCTTAACCAACTCTTGTTCTTCTAAAATTTAATTATAAGCAAAAAATTTTGGTTGGCAATTTTAAAATACATTATTTTTAAAGGATGTTAATGTGTAAGAGTGTACGTGTTATCAATCGTGTTCTCCACATGATGGTAACCTTGCCTGTGTAGATTATCTATGGACGTTCGAAATTTCAACGTTACAACTGGACCTATTATTTATTTCTTAGTTCATAAAAAAATTATGCGTCAAGCAGATTAATAAAATCAGTCGTTTAACCAACTGAATTGAGTTTTTACTCATTCCTTCAAAGACCACCTGGACTCGATATGCTGATAACCCCCATTATTTACCATTCTAAAGTGTATTCCATTATTATTTTCGGGAGATTATTACCGTGAGCTTTTATTCATCATATTCGGAAGTTCAAAATCAAATCCTCAGAGAAAGATGAAGCGAGAGAAAGACGTGGTCAATGCTTACTTTCCTTTACAATTTTAAAAAGGCAGTGTATTACACTGATTTCATCATTTCCTTACCATGCAGTGGTACACTTTGTTTCCAAGTATTATGGTCATAACCGTACTCTGTTCCCCTTCCTTACCGAGAAGAAAAGGTACGTACTACTTCGGTTTAACGAGCGAAAGCAATACACTGGCCACGTACACGATCTTTTTTTGTTTGAAACGATTCATAAGTCGTGTAAGCAGCAGCCATGCACAGGTTTCTAGCCAAGAATCGCTGTTGTATGCATCGTGAAATGAGTATGTATCCTTTGTTAGCCTCTGCATGCCGAACTAGCTTTCTAGGAAAATGTGCTTTACTCATTCGCTTGTAAAAAGGAAAAATGTCATTTCATCAGAAAATTTGGTTCATCATATTCTCGACTGGTATATTAATAGGCCGGAGAATATTGTCTAAGTGAAAGCGTTAATCCGTTCCTAACTTACAAACGTTTACAGACACTTGAGTCAACAAAGAGAATACCAAGGGAGATTAAAGCATGTTGACTCAACAACACTAGAATGTCCTTGGATTATTGCGAGCTTTTTTAGTACGAGGTAGGAAGGCCAAAATATGTCATAAGTGTTAATTGAGGATACTGTGAATAAGAAAATACTAATAGTATGTTCATTCACTTTCTTTCCGCGGCGCGGGTGAGTTCCTGATCGGCTTAAATCTCATCGTCTGGTCGGTAAAGATCTGTTCTTCAACACTCCCACTAGCTCTTCTTGTAAAGAGAACACTGGAGGTGCTACTTTAAAATCAATTGAATTGTGACCTGCCATATTTTTGTAAGATCATCGTTCCCTAATGGCGCTAAAAGATTCTTAGTCAGTTGTGAAGGCGCCGGAGTGAAATCCAAATGTCTATTCTACATAGTTTTATTTCCCGCCTTTAACAAGATCTTGTTCTTGTTACCGGTTCTTATCAATAGAAAGAAACGTAAAAAGCTTTGAAGTTTCTCCCAAGAGTTCTAGAAGTAAGAAATACCGAAATCGCGTCTATCTAGGACGAACGAGATGGTGTAAAGAAGGAATTGTGGATGATCTCTGCTGAACCTCGCACACGTGGAATGGCAATGTATGACCCTGTGCTAATGCTACTTTTATGATAGTTCGTGACTGAAAACAAAGTGTCTTTGAGGAATATTTTACCTACTATTACATTACGGTACTAGGAATATATGCATGTATTAGTGGTTCGGGGATTTTCGTCTCTCAAATTTGAAAGACTAATGACTGACTAACCTTCGGAGTCTAACCTCCAGACAGATCCAGGTTATCCAAGTTTTGGCGACCCAAAGCTGAGGGAGCCGTACGCACGATTGTTTAGTGGTCTGAGCACAAATAAAAGGACTTCCTAGACATGAGTGATCCCAGCAGAGTGCAGGGTGTTTTAATGCATAGCCTAACATTCCTTACGAGTTCACAGTCGCTTTTTTGGCACAACATATCGGGCTGTGATAACAGCAATCACGAGCCGGGGTAGCCAGAATTCGTTTAGCGTCTGCTTGTGACAAATGTGTACCATATTTCCTAGTGCTTTCGATTATGAGTCAACATACCAACCAAAACTAACCCTCAGTTTATATATACACGTTCTGACATTAATTGGTCTGATTACCTTGATCGTATCTATATCACTTCAACTCATCTTGGACCAGCTTATTAGTTGTAGGTATATAATAAGTTATAAATCTAACTTTGAAACCGTAAGGCCTGTCATTTGAGATCATTCTTTAACTTAAAGCAAGGATATATAATGAAAGTTGCTCAACAAAGTATTATAAAGTAAGTTATCCTGGATCGCAGTATTCCTGTCTGTAATTGAACATGCAACTGAAACGAATAAAGTGAGCTGAATTAAAACTTGGAGAATCTGACATGGAATCAAGTATCAGACTTTATATTTTGACTTGCTTACAACTAGTATAACAGCTGAGTCATGTAGTGAAAATGAAAATGATGGCCGAACTTCTCCAAGTTTTACTTTCATTCACAACACTTTTGTTATCAGTTTGTTATCAGTTCACTGAGTGCGCGACAAAAAAGATGAAACTATTAGCAGCCGAGGCAAAGGAATCGACTTAATTTCAGCTGCTAAGTTCTGTCTAATTTTTCATGAAAAACGTTGCGCTTCCTTAAATCTCCAATGTCAGGCGAAGTATGACTGTGTTAACCTCACCCCACCCCTCTCAAGCTCCTCCCCCCCCTACCTGACGAAAGCATTTGATCATGTTGACCGTGAAAATACGCCACATTCGATGGTGTCGCTTTTCATACATCGCATCCGGCGAAGGTTCAATATTTCTTTATCCATTTAAGATCATTGAAGGTCCATGCTCCGAATCAGTCACAAAACCTATTTCACTATTACTACTTCCTCTCCTTCATTTGCTTACAAACCAGAAGTGTTGCTCTTGAAATAAATTGACAGACATGACAATTACACTTAACTTTTGAGATGCTCTTTTTCGTTTTTTTTTATCCCTTTCCTTTATCTGAGTTAAAATTTGTTCTTAAGAGAAACTAGAAACGTATGATAAGAACGTGCGGAACATATCCTTCGAAGTTAAAATTGATTAAGTAAACTATATTTAGAATACAAACGAAACCTATCAAAATAAACCAAACTTTAACAAAGGAACAAATGTCTGTCTCAAATATATCTAATGAGTGTGCCCAACGGGAAACCCGCGGCTTTCAAGGTCAAAATACGGCAGATGGCACGTGCACTACCGAATATAAACGACAGTCCCATTGGAGTTTGTCTCTAAACCAAATAGCACGTTTGTCAAATGGGTGCCAATACATCACCACGTAATTGAAGGGTACGAGATAATCAATCGTTTTCTCATCTGCAATTAATAAAGCGAACTACGTAAGGGTTAAGGTGGCAAGTGAGTTTTTTTTTACAAAGAAAACCTTAAAAAAACAGCGGAAAGTTGTAAAATATTTACGTTGGGGTAAAATTAATACGATTCCGGTGCTCGCACTGGTTTCGCAACAGTATCTCCTGTCGATGAACAAGTGGAGATAACGTTGTTTTGTGAAGGAATTTGATCTTGCGGATTTGATCATATCAGAACATATTCTTTTGAGAGGTCATAAAGCTACCCTTTAATCGGTTATGGCGGTGGATATCAGATTGCCTTTAATATAGATTCCCGTTGCTCCCGATCCCTCAGAATTATCATTTTCGGTCCCTCCACTGCCTCACGAGATACATTGTTAACTATATAGATTTCTTGAAGGAAAGTTTTTTGGTACGTTCATGAGCCCTTAGTGTTTTTTGTGTTAAGTTTTTCAACGGATCTAAATCGTGGGGCATTTCAGTTTTCACGTACGGCCGAAGTCATCTGATGGGGGGCTAAGTCTAGTGGGTATTATGTTAAGCGCATGTGCAAACAAAATGGCCGATGATACTAACTGTAATCCGTGTCCACGTAAATTTAGTGTGATTTAGCTGCATATCTTAGATCGGTTTAAGATCTTCCAAAAACGAGCATTTGAATAATGTCACTTGATCATAATCCCCAATGTTCTGCCTGCAAAATAGCGAATTCTTTGATGTGGAGGAGAGGGTCTAATGGCGAAATCCTTTGTAACAGCTGCCATTTGAAGCGAGTTAATTCTAGCGTTCGTGCTCAGCGACAAAGCTCTAAGGAGAGCAAAAAGCTCATTGCAAGGATTAAGGCAGGAACACGAAAAGGTTGGAATGGAAAGTCGGGGGAAAGATCTAGAGGTCGCCGTTCCTTGCAAAAGATGAAACGAAAGGTAAATTTAAGTAAATGTTATATTTTACCTCAGTACATACCACATGAACATTAAATTATTTTATTGTAAACTGCCAAATTTATTTCCTGAGGCTTTTTTTTTCATACAAAATGTTTACTACTCTACTGAGGTCCTGAAAGAGAGAGGTGACCATAAACTACTCGATGAAAAGGGTCTGTATTGATCACTAACAACAAATTAATGAGAAGAAATTTCACGTTGGCCTCGAAGGATAGGAAAAAAATGTACATTAAGACAATAAGTATAGTGTAAAACCCAAACGACCACTTTTTCGATTTTTTTTTCCAAAATGCGCCCAGACTTCCAACTTCCATGCAATAGACTTACAATTTTTACGTGGCTGTAAGGATAAATATCTAGCGAGTTTTGAAGGGACAGGTTACTCCTGTGAGGAAGTCCAACTCCTTTTTTTTAATTCTTGCGTGAATGTGAGGAACCGATATATTGACTCAAATTCTTAACTGAAATCCAAATATCTCTGCAATTACTCTTTTAGTCGTTTTTAGACAAAACTATCTTTGCAAACTTTTAGGACTTGTCCAATTTGATGAAATACATGACATTGCACCTTGTGCTTGTAGGAATGCAACTGTTTTCAACAATCATTACTTTAATGCCATTTTCATCTGACTTCAAGATGTAAATGGTCATAAAATGCAAACAATGGCATACCACTCTGCTGAACAAAGATAAAACTTTTCTTAGAGTGAAGCTTAGTCAGCATTTAATTACAAAAAGAGTACTTTGGTCTGTGACCTAAGTTTAATGCTACATTTACACGTATACACTCTTTTAACAGACTGGGTGTTTTACAGTTAAATTAAGTAATTTCTTGTTACTTTTAACATAATAATTAGGAAGTAAAGATTTTACCACACATTAAATTTGAAGTTATCTCTGTATGGTTCGTTTCACCCATTTGAATCAGTGACTTGAGTCAAACATCTTCTTTAAAGATTACCTTAGCACTTGTGAATACCCCAAGCTTAAAGGAGGTGCACTACCTTGTACATTGATAGACACTGATGTTATCTGTTGTCAAATATGGAACTATTTGTCATTTTGATTGCAGCCTTATAAGTCACCAGAGGGTTTTGCTACTGTAGTTGCAGCTGACAGGATTTACTTCAAAGTATGGCTTTGTGGAAATTTATTGTTAAAAATAATATAATATATAATATACTTTATATTTTGACCTGGGGATGATAGTCATAAACTAATTGATCCTCTCGTCAGGTGTCATTATTTGACAACTTTTAGTCAAAAAGGCCAAACAGAGAAGGGAGGGAACAATTGAAATATTCTAAGTTGATAAGTTGATAACTACTAGTTTAGTCTTTTTCAAAATGAGTAAATTTAAGAAAATAGTTCAAGAGAATTATTGTAAGTGATATCCAAGAAAAATCCTGAACACACAAGAGCTTATTTTAAGGAAACCTCCTCTGGTGGAACAAATAATCTTTAAATTAACAAAAATTATCTTACAAGTTAAAATTTATCTTGAATGTCATTGAAGTAGCTAGAGGGAGAAAAAAATGAAACTGATCTGTGTCATCTTCAAACTGGCTTTCTCCATCTCAATGTTTAATTGTATGTTATTACCTGTACGATTCCCTTGGGACTCAATTAAATGAAAGAGCTATTGTCTCTTGATAATAATGACAACTGTATAACATCATGGAAGCCAAAATGGTGTTTTCCAAAATGCGAGCATTGTTTACTGTATTTTGTACATTTCAGTTCTTGTTTCCTAATGTTTTTAAACTAATCTTCATGAAGCATAGCAAGTTGTTTTCCAAATGGTGGTTTATGAGTTGGTTGTTGTTTAGACAGGGAAGGTGGACATTTGTACATGATACCTGACACAGTTAAGTGTTTCATTTATTTGTATTTGTTAAAGGGTATTCTTTACCAGGCTGGTGACATAGTATCCATCGAAGACATAGAGGGTGATCTGTATTATGCCCAGCTTAAAGGCTTTCTTCAAGATCAGTATGCACAGAAAACTGCAGTTATTACATGGCTTCTACCTATGGTTCCTAAACCATCACACTTTGATCCTGCTCTCTTTTTACCAGGTACAGTATGTGTACTTGTGATGAATATGAAACATGTCGGTTAACATCATGGTTTCTCTTGCTTTGTCTCAAGTTATTTTCAGACTATGTAGAAGACAGGTTTAACTCTAACAGAAGAACTCTGATGTTTCAATTTTTCAGGACCTGAAGAAGACACTCCTAGACCGATGGAATGTATGGAGTTTGTTTGTAGAGCCCCAACAGAACTGTTTAAAGCCAGAAGAGAACATCCTCCATTCATAACTCCACGACAACCCGACCTTAATGATTTAGCAACAGTTGCAGAACAACTTCTTTCCAATGAAAATCATCAACAGTTATAAGTTGACATTACTCTAGTTGGTGTAGTACCCATATGCCTTGTTTGGGTATTGCACAGCAAATTTTATCTTTGATGGAGCTCTTTCGAACATTTTCTCTCCATTTAGCAAGAGACATACAGTTCACAACCAAATGACTTTGAAAACTTAGTCATTGAAAAGGATGTTCATGATTTAAAACTGCCTACACATACATATGGGAGTTGTGTGTAGTATATTTAACTCTGTATTTGACCAGAACTTTCTCTTATTTCCTTACTCAGACCTTTATTAATTACTTTTAACCCTTAACACCTAACATTAGTATGCATATTCTCCATACTATTCACTACACAGGTGCAAACAAGAGCTGCTTTAGTTTAATCCTGTGACCTTAATTAATGTTTGATTCAAGGGTGATATTGTAAGAGGGGAATTAGATGCAAATCACTCTTACAGGTCAAATGATTAATGATATCATAATTAATTTGAGAATATTCACATTACATTGCTGTTTCTTCAGTTCTGCCTGATCAAATAGAGATAAATTACCAGCTGAATAGGAAACTGGACAGATCAAACTTTTAAGTTTGATAATCCAGGACATAATAGACTATTCAACATAGCAGAATTCATACTATGTGGATGAAAACTGCAAAGATTCAATACATAATGGACTTTCTTAAAACAGTGAACATGGTTTGACAATATTACAAAAGATCCTAGGTTGACAGAGGAAGTAAAAGTTAGTGTCTGATTGCCAACTAAAGCTTGCTGGTAGTGCAGCAATTCCTGGCTACTGGCTGCCATTTCTGGTCAATCATTTACCACATATAGTAACCAAAGCTTGCTCTTGAACAGCTACATTGCTGTTAAGTTAAGTTAATCCATTCCATCACTTGATTGAAAGTACTGGTCCTTTTTTTCCATGCTGAAACCAAGTAGCGATGTAAAAAATGTCCACCTGCTTCCATTTCAACAGATTCAGCTAAAAGAACAATAGCTGAGCACTGCCTGAGGTACCTCCTGGTGTTCACTTCAGTGTTTACTTCTGAAGAGCCCCTGAATCAGAACATTTTAGTTACTGTTGCTGATGTAGCCTTCTCCATGTTGTATTGGCGAAAAAAAGACTTGGAATATTCATAAGTGCTGATCATGACAGCACATGCTGGTGCCACTTTTATCAGTCTTGCTGATACACCTTTCAAAGGAAAAAAAATCAAGCTGACACCTTACACAGACTTACATTTCTAAAAAGGATTTTGTATGAGGATCATGAGGATTTTAGCATTTGGTTTTGGGCTGTATCTTCCTTCAGACACTCCTAGCCATCAAGACCATGTGTGTAAATGAGACCTCTACTAGTAACAGTATCACATACATTAGTTATGTCCTTTAAGGACAGCTTTTTAAAATACTAGGGTAATTTAGCATTATCAACTGAGTTGATAGCGTAAATTGGCCTCCATAAAGAGTTTAAAAGCTGATGAAGGGCTAACACTTAAAAAGTCAGCTTTAAAACTCTTTACAGTAGCCAATTTATGTTACCAACTCAGTTGATTATACTGCATTACCCAGTTACACTCTCCCACTAATGCAGCACCACAGTTTCTTTAGAAACTCACCCCCTTTATTTATTTGTAAAATACTGACAAATAAATAGTGATTATTATTTTACTTTTTGACCAAGGTTGTCCATTCCATATGACTCCACAATCACTTACTATTGTTTGTTAGAAATTCCAAATAAATAGATAAAATAATAGTAACCCTGACTTCTGTAACTGGTGAGACTGAAAAAATCACGTAACACTGCATGAGTTGTAACTGTTGTATTCTCACCAGCAAAGAGACTTCTCCATCCACTTTCTCTGTACAACTGGAAAATCAGTGAGAATGTAAAAGGCAACTTCTTGACAGCACTGGCATTTTCTGTAAAGGTTGTTTTAATAACATAAATAAATCACTCAAACAGCTTTTCCAATTTTAAATCAAAATAGAGATTACTTATTAAAACAGTGTAAATTATATGTTATTCTTTGACATAGAAGAGCACAATTTACGCATGGTTGATCACTTCAGTGATAACTAAGGGATACAACAACACACAAGATAGCTTGACCAGAAAAAACATTACATACTAAACACAAGTTCACCAAGTTCCATCTGTCTGTGTGTTTTAACCACATCAAATGGAGTTGTTATCAATGCAGCCATCTGCAAAACAATGATTTTCAGGAATTGAAAAAAGTTTCAAATTGTTAGTAGGCAATCTATCAAATATCTGCCTGTTTATCTGTCAGTCTGTCTATCCATCAGACCTATTTATCTATCTGTATTTCTATCTACCTGATGAGCTGAACTGTACAAGCTTTTGATTGGTTCTTGCTTATGACATTGGAGGGCAGACGTAGATGATGTCACCATCCACAACACTTTGTTTTTTAACATTTGAAACAAATAGATTATATCTGGCCATGGATCTGTACAGTAATAGATCACAGAACAGCTTTGTGCTGTGTGTCACTTTTTTTCCTCACCAGACTTTAATGTCATCTGTAATCTATTACTAACCAGAAATGGAAACATGCATGTATGTGAAAAAGATGTGATGGTTGATTAGGGCAAATAATTGCACTGTGCATTCCTGATAACTTGAACCTTTTGAGGGAAATTGAAAAACCTTGCATTATAAATAGTTTGAGTCATTAGAAGGTTGAGAAAATGACTGGAAATTAAGGAAAAATATTTTCTCAAACAATAAAAGTTTTGTCAAATTTATCTCTGTCAGTATAAGTGTTGGGTGAAAATGGAACATTTTGAACAAGAAGTTTAAGAAGCAAAGCTTCATGGAAATTCAAGGTACTGTAATTATTAAATGTACTCTTAACCAAGAAAATGTTGAGGGGATTTACACAATTGGTGTAATACATATTTTTTGCATCTTAATGTGGAGGGCAGATTAGTTTATAAGAAATTAGGAAAAGTTGGGATGACCTTGGATTCTTCTTAAAATATATACTTCTGTGAAATAGTCAGTAACATTTACTTAAACAACCTGCAAAATGATACATGGCTATAAACAAGAACCCTAGTCAAAGAAATTAACTTTTCTGGATTACAGCAGAGTACATCTTGTTTCCATTTGTCAAGCATTGACAAACAAAGTCAGTGCTACAGAGGAAACCCAGATTTTTTGAAAATGCAGGTCCCCTGGTTCAAGTTAGTGAAATGTATCAGTTGTCCAGGGGACATGTTACCAAGGTAGTCTGCAGTGCAGGCGTCTTATTAGGGCAGGTTAATGTTAAGAAGCTTGTAATCATTTATTCAACCAGCCATGTTTGATTTGGAGTTAGAGTCAACGAAGGGGGAGGAGATGGGGCCCAGCAAAAAGAGGCCTGTCTGAGGGGGCTGCTAAGAAGCATAATGACCCCTGATTAGTTATGCGTCATTGCATTTTGGGAAAAGAGCAGTTAATGAGTTTACTCAAAAAACCAGAAGCACTCTTATGTGACAAAAACAAACACCTAGAGCCAATGAGTGAAAGAGTGAAGCAGTTTTTTCAGCCAGGAGAGAAATGGGTTGAACAAAACCTCCTACCCATTCACAAATATAAGCTGATATTTGCTGCACTTCATAATTTTCCAAATGACAATCCTTGAGTGTAGCTGCCATTAATCCATTTGATGATATTTCTTCCATTATTTCCATTGATGGTAAACAATACTTTAAAACAACATACACTCAAACATTTACCCGCCATCATTCATTTGATGCACATTGGCATCTGAAATATCAAGCTCTTCCAAAAACTAACTGCTAATGCTGCCAGGAGATCTTTTCCAAAGATCAGTGTGGAAATTATGTCTATTTGCTCTGCTTCCTCTCCTCACTCACCCCTTCAATACAAATTTCATTCTCTCCAGCCTTTTGTGACTGTTAAAATCAAAGGTGACAGCTATAATTTTCACAAAGTTAATATTTGCTCCTGCCAATTACACCTTCTCTGCAGACTAGTTCCCAAGGAGATTTCCAGTCATTCCCAGTCAGTGAAATTACAATATATGTGTGATGCAAATCCAGGGAAAATAAATTTTCCTTTCAGTTAACACAAGGTTTTATTTGGCAAAGGTTCAACTTATCAAGTGTCTTCCCAGGTATGTAAAATATGGATGTAGGTAAAAAGGAGAATCTGCAAATTTAAGTACAAAAGTGAACTAAGCTTCATGTCTTGTGATATAAATGGTCTGCTGTACTTCCAGAGTTTTGTTTTTTACACTGTACTACAAAATATAATGTGCAAAATATTTAGCCTATGAAATAAAATAATGAGAAATGAGACATGTACTCACAGCTCCAGACAGCACTCCCGATGAAAAACTAGCAATAAATCCTGGCTCAGCAAACTTTGATTTTAGGACTTCATAGCCCATCCAATAAACAGCTTTTAAAAGACAAACAGAAAATCAGCAACAATACTTAGGTCAACAATAAGGTAGAATTTCTACTACAATATGATTAACACCAATATGCTGGTGTTAAATTTGAAATATCCTGTTGATGTTGATAAAAAAGGACATGATTTGATGTTTTTATTTTAGTTTGATTTAGATGATAGAAAATGACTAAAAATGGGGTCAATTCCATTGAAAATCAGTTCTTGAGTCAAATAAATACTACAGCTGGAACCAGTGTTACTGATTAATACAGTCCCAACCTGAGAATGGTACATCCCTGAGCAGTGTAGGTCCTAATCCATGCCAGAGTGATAACATTCCCCCTTGCTGAATGGCATTCTTAATAACACTTACAAGCTCTGAAATAAAAACAAAGAAATTCATTAGAATATTGCAAAAAAACACCTACAAAGATGATACCTACATTCATGATAATCATCTTAAAATTTCAACTACTGTCATGCATAAAAATGATTCCTACTTGATGCATCTGTCCCATTTACCAGTAACTGGAAACATTCAACAGACAAAGTGCAAAAAAAAAACAAAAAAAACACTACACTCAAAATATCATAAAGGTTGGACTTCATGCGTAGTATGTGATGCAACTTAGATGAACAATACCTTTATAACTAAATTCCTTTCTTGACTGCAGTTTGGTTCTGATCATTTCTATTGGTGATATGCATGTGATGGAGGCAGCTGAAGTAAAAAAAACATGATCAGATTAGTCACCAAACCCAATGGATAATGTTGTTGTATTTTAAGTAGATAGAAGGTAACATTTACATTTAGTCTCACACACACAAGTTGATAAAGAGTGGTCATGTTGACTATTACTTTTACCATACATCAAGTTATTCAGTCATTCAGACTGAAAGCAGGCCTGAGAGGTCATTGAGGTATTGTTTTAAATACCAGTTCATGAATGAGATGTGCATGTAATTTTCAAATGAATTTTGTTGGTTATGTAAAATGACAAAAGAGAAACCAAATATTACTTCGAGCAGTAACTCCAGCACACATTGGTGACCAAAAGTTTTCCTCTCCCTCTTTAAATCCATACACCACTTTAAGCTGGTCATAAAGAGTAAAATAAATCATTGTGTTTGGAACAGCCATAACTCTGCAACACAACCATAAGAAAAGTCAGTCAGCACTCTGAGCAAACTCTTGTTGTCATAGCAAGAAAAAGATTTTTGGAAGTAAATATGTAAGAAAAGTTGCAACCTTGGTTTGGTAGTCATTCAACAAGTAATGGTGTGTTTACTACTCTGTGCTTATGTGTGTTTATGGTCTAGAGTTAAAGTGACATGCAGTATATTTTATATGTGGATTGCTGTGATCCACTCATGAAATTGTCATCCATTTTGAAATAAATGGTAATCTTTGTAACCTGATTGGCCCTTGATGATTTGATTTACTCGCAAATCAAACCACTTTGTTGCTCTAAATAGCATTTTTCCCAGCCAATGAGACAGCTTTACTAAAACAGAACAATCAATCAGATTTCAAGGCTTCTAGAAAGGAACAAATCAAATGATAGGAAAATGAAAAACAACTTTTGTAACATTTTATAGACCAGCTCAGTATTGGAAAAATAAAACATTTGTACAGACTAAAAATCCTGTATTTGAGAAACGGAATTTTACAATTTCAAAATAGATATAATGAAGTGATTGAACTTTGTGTCATGCAATTTCGGTCTGAAATCATACTGTAATACAACATAATTTTGGTCTGAAATCACTACTTGTGCAATTTTTAAATAACTCATATGATTTCAGGTTGCACTTCACTCAGTTCAATTACCATTATTTATCCCCAACATCCGTGACACTTCTTTTAAACTTCTACCAAATGTTTACTAAGGTAATCTCCTGGTGCAATGCTTCCAAACTTACCTATTGCTGTTTATCTATTTTCATTCTCTTCAAATTAATTTTATCATCAGTCCAGTGTTCTAGTTGCCCACCAACTCATGCACTACGATAATTTCTTTACAAACTAAAAACTTCCTTCAGAAACAGACCCAAACCAATTTCAAACAATCCCTCTCAGCAGCAATCATAAACCACATTGTTCTGAATTTCACAAAGAGAGTTAAACAAACAAACTGCTCAAACCATCTACTTACAGAGTTGGTGGTAAGCCTCTCCACAATGCTGAGATGCCTTCATAGCGAGGAATTTTCATCAAAGCATCCTGGAATTTGAATAAACTGTTCTTAAATTAACAATCATTTGAGGTTATTTGAGTACACATTGTTGAACTGTGTACTCAACTGAAACAAAACTGTCATTCAATTCCATTTCAAGAATTATCAATCGAAAGTTCATCTGTATAATAGGAAAGGAGTAAATCACAACATATTCCTGGACACAAAAATCAAATTTAGGTGCTAAATTTACAGCAAATGTTGCCAATTTAGCAACCCATGTTCAACAATTATGAGAGCTCTGGAATTTTCTGTTCATATTCTCAAGTTAAGTGAGATAAAAAATGGTACAAAATGTTGTACCACTAATTTTTAGTGGTAGGAAGTGAGGAAAGTGTCTTTTTGGCAGTAAGAACTGTGGTAACCATTTTAAAGCTGGCATTTCATTAGAGGATTCCAAGGATTTTCCAGGCACTTTCCTGTAGGTTTATATCCTGACCACTTAATTTTGTTTCTAGAGACCTCTTTATCATTTTAGGTCACTATGTAGCTCATTTGGAAAAGCCTGAACTTAATATCTCGAAGTACCATGATCATGACGGTGACACTACCTCTGACTGCTAGTTTGAAGAAATAATCTTATTATGTAACATTAATAGGAGTACCAGTACATTTTAACGAAATCTCTTCATACATGTGCCTGGTGTAGTTTCACATAGTTATAATTCCAACCCACACATAATTAGCTGAAAAGGGGAAAAAACCACTGGAAGTGCAGACCTCTTTAGATTTATTATGGACAACATATTTTAATAACAGTAAAGTGCTGACATTCTCAGACTTACCAATGTTGAATCAAAAGGAGGATGAGGAGCATGAGGAAATGGACGGAAAGGGGATCCAAGATTGGCACATAAACACAGATGATCCATGAGACCATTACAGAACAGGTAACATGGAGCTGAAGGATTAAAACATGAAAATAAAACAGTTAGAGAGAAAAGATATGTGTATGTCATAGTTAAAACTGATTTTATACTAGTTTCAACACTTTGTTATTGTTGTTGTTGTTGTTGTTGCTTAACAATCAGGATGATGAATCTGGACTGAGAGGAAATAAAACTTGACCTGCAACCCTGAAGATTACTACCATTTTGACCAGAATTTCATTTTAATCTGCAACATATACATTTACCAACATAGTCATTCAAAAAAAATTATGACATCACAGTTTTATGAAGATGCTGGGATCAATGTCAGTATCTTAGCAAATGTGCACCTACCTCTCCCCTAACCCATTATTAAGTCTAACATGTCACCAGTTGATCATTGAGCCAAAATGAAGATTGATTTTTTTTTTTGGTTTTAGAACAGTTTTCCTTCAATGTAAGCACAACATAAACTCTTGTACCACAGATAGCCATTTTCAATTATGATATCTTGAATCCATACATACATACATATGGTTCCAATTTTTCTTTATATCTTTTAAATGTGTCATCTCTAATCAATCCTATATTTCAGATAATGAAAGAGTCCTGCACAAGGATTGGTTGTTGTTAAAGATATTAATTTCATCTTTCCCTTCTAACCAGCAAGTTAAGCTGTATAACCAAAAAAAGGACAGTCAAAGAATGCATGCGGCTATTAGTGTAGCACAATTTTTATAGCATTGAAAAGGACCAGAGGTTGTACAATGACAACAGAATGTAGTGTTACAGAATATTTGTCCGTCTTACAAAACAGAGAACCTGTGGCATTCCACATATTTATGAGTACCCTGTTCCACAAGAGAAATGTGATTCAAGAATATGTTGTGAAACTGACATTAAACAATACCCAAATGGTAGCAAATAATAATATCAACAAAAATAATAATGATAACTTTAGTAAATAATAATAATTTAAGGGGCTAGCTAGAAAACCTTAAGGTTCCCCAATCTTCTGGGCTCTAACAATAAATACCTAATAGTATGCTTACTTTAACTTTCTGCCAACACTGTGTGCAGACAACTAAGTGACCTTGGAAAGAAAATTGACTGTGTACTAGAATCAGTTTTCACAAGTAGGAAAACCTCCAAAATTTTAAAAGTCACAGAAACAAAGCCCTCACAGGTAAACCAACAATGCCTTATGGATGAATTTAAATGTAATTTGTGTGATGTAAATAATAAAGGCTACATGAACCATCACCTCCACCTTCACATTGAGGAGCACAAATATTCCATCATTCATAAACATCTTGAGAACAAACACAATTGAAGACCGAACAATCTTCACAAGCAATTTTTCATCCTAAAGAAATGACACAGAAAGTTTGAGTGCCTTATTTGTGAGATGCTTTTAATAAGAAAAAGAGACCGACTCTGAACACTCAAAAAGACTCCACTCCAGTGAAACCGTTTATTTAATTATGTATATTCTTTTGTTTTACTCCACCTCATTTGATTCTAATTTAGTTTCACACTTTCCTTTCCTTGTCACTGAACTTAAAATAATTTTACATTTGATAATGGTGACACATTGTTGCTGAAATGTCATGTTTTATTCTCACTACTTTTTATTATGAAATGTTTTCTAAATCTTTCATTATCCTTTAACTTTGCCTATAAGTTGTAAATGACTTTCTTATCCTATAGCAATTCCATTTCTTGAGACTTTTGTTTCATGCAAAAACACATTTCGTGTTTTATGATACTCCTTTATTCTACATCTTAAGATATTCTGCCATTCCATTATTCCTCAGTTCCATCATTCTATTGACTGACTAAAAGTATTACATTTCCTAGCTTGCCCGCTTCACAAATTCAGTAGCTCTCTTCCCCAGAAGTCACTTATTCAAACTGTAAAATGCTCTCTCTTAAAATAAAAAAAAGACTTCTCAAAGCTTCCTTGATGTGCAGATCACATCTATTGAGATATTTCTGCAAGTAAAAAGTTTTGATTTAAATTACGCATTGCTGAATGCCACTGTGAAATCATTTTGAGATTGTCTTTCTCAGTGTCAGGCAGGAACTGAAAAGATTATATCTTCCAATCTACATAATTTGCTGATTTATATGGTTAAATGCTCTCTCTTTAAAGAAAATAAGCGCCCATGTAGAACTACTTAGATATTAGCAGTAGAAGTAGCACCTGGAAACATTGGGTCAAGATTGGAATTTTATTGTTACACTTGCTCATCTCAACAACATAAATGGCTTCCCCTCCTATAGGAGGTGATAACCACTAAAATTGGACCACATAGTAATAGTCCTGCTACAACTTGTGGTCCAGTAATATAATGTCATGATTGGTTCTAAAGGGAAAGTAGAAAAAGAAACAAGGAGGTCTGGCAATTGGTCTTTCAACTCCAAAAGACTCAAATAAGATGGTAATAGTGAACAATGGTTCCCATTTTTGGCTGTTGATAACCTGTCGCTCAACTGTCAGCCAACAGGTTACCTACACATTACCGACAGTCAGCCGTCATTGATGTTTGATCTGCGCTTCAAAGAGTAGGGATGTCATCCTGCTCAGAAATGAAAAAAAAAAAACGGCTCCTTTAGGAGCCACCAACTTTGCAAAAGTGAATGAACCAACAGGTCAAATAGTTCTAATAAAGACTTTCTGAAAAGGGTTTTGGAGGCAGTGTATTTAGGGGATTGGGAACTAGAAAAACTTTTCGATATAGCAGATAAATGAAATCAAACCAATTTGGGAAAAATTCACCAGCCAAAACAAAAAAGTGGGCAAAAGCCATCGTAGCTATTGAGAGTACAGTGCAAGGTATCTTTTTGAAATGACTTATCTCCTTTATGTATTTTTAGAAGCAATATATAGGTAAATGTTTATGATCATTTCAGTTTACAACCTACAGACATGTTACCAACAGGATACTGACAGGTTGCCAACAGGTTGGTGACTGTTGGCTGACAGTCGGCAAAAACTTTGGCCTGAAACATAATGAAAACTGCTGGCCAACTGTGAGTCGACTGTCAACCAACTGTCAGTTTACAGTTGGCCAACAGTATCTTTCAGGAACTGTTCTTCACTTTTACCAATAAGACATAATGCTGATTTTTTCTCCTTTCAATCTATTCAAAACATACATACTTTGCAGTTCATTAATTAGGCTTTAATATCTCATCATCATTGAGATTAAACTTTTAAATGATTGTTTCTACTGTTATTATCATTAATGTTCTAGTAACTGGCAAAAGACAAATAGAAAAGAAGGCAAACCACAAGCAACAATAGCAGTCTCTGGCCGTAGCCCTAAGTACCCAAGTGCAGGAGAAGAATTGACTGCTGTTAATAACATTTATTAGCATCATCATCATTGTCAGTATCATTAATATTAATATTATCATTTTATTAGCATTATCATTGTAAATTAACAAAAGCCATTTCGTAAAGAACAATAAAATCACAAGACAACAAATTCTTACATTTTGGGATAGGCTTGAGCTGAGCTTGCAGTCTTGTTTTTACTACATCAAGAGGAGTCACTTAAAATAAACAACAACAAAAGACATGAAAATGTCGACGAAGTAATTGAGACACTTTGGATTTTAATCGTCTTAGGGAGGAAGGCGCAAGAGAGGCCATAGTAAAATGCAAAAGTCCCCCTTTCAATTACATCACTGGTAACGAGTATATGGAAGATGTGCACGTGTTAAAATCACCATCGAACAAGAAAGTAGTTAAGTTCAGGCGCAACACATACTTACACAAAACTTACATACCTGCCCTGCCCTGCCCATACCCCTTTCCCACGCTCTTGGCTACTTGCACGTGATAAGTGAAATGCAATGTTACATCATGTCAATGAACTTTTTGAGAAAACGTGAAATTTGCCATGAAACTCTCCTTTTAACCAACCCAAAACTGTTTCAGAAACGAGAAAAAAACTAAGAGATTACGAGGTAGTAGCCTCAAGTATCTAAAGGTTACCTTTGAGAACACTCGTTAGAAACTTACCAAAGAGACTGGTTATCAAAGCTCCGGACCCTGAAGATATCATCTGTTGGAATGGTGTTATTTTTCCGGAGCTTTGGGTGGAACTGCCCATAGTGACAGGTTTTTGAAGTGATTTCGTTTTAAAAACTTATATATTATTAATTTGAGTTGAAACAAACATGTCAATGCTAAGGAACGATATGTCGTTTTGCCGCACACCACGGGTATTCTGTGAAATGCTGTCGGCCATGTTTATCCGTTACTTCTGAGGGATTTGGTACGACCGTTCTAGTGCCAGTCTCTTTTCGTGAAATCGGCTCATGGAAAGTTTTTCACTTCATTGCGTGACAGGAAGTCTCTGAATAAACATGAAACGAGACGAAGTAGAGCCCAAGAGCCTTTCAGAATATCGGTGAAGCAGGTGTTAAGTTCCTTGTTGAAAAGAAAAGCTAGAAGAAGACTGAAGATGTGGATTGGTAGATTTATTCCCAAGTCTTCGTGATTACTCAGCTTCGCTTATGACCATAAGTGTTGCTATTTAGGATGCCTGAACAGATCCGAAAACTCTATCACTAAGTTTGTTGATCCGAACGGGCTGACCGTTAATAGGCTTTTTGAAGAGAGCAACTAAAAACAGCCACATAAGTTCCAATTTAATACTTAGGGAACAATAGAGTCGATTGTAAAACTGTGCTGTAAAGTTTCTTATATAATTAACTTTGAAAGCACAATTTTGTAAACAACTAATGATAACACAACAACAAGTCTATTATCTATCCGGATACGTTACGCAGATCCTGTCCAATCTCTAATCGTTCAGTAGAGCTGTAATCAGACGGTTGGCTGTAATCAGACACCTGTAAAATCAGACTGTTGAAGTACTCAATCATACTAAGTCCACTCAGCCAAATCCACCAATCACAGAATTAAACACAATAACCATACCAACAGCTACTTATCCTAAATAAAAATTGAGGAATTTCCAACATGAAGAAATTTTTTTACTTTAGACATTGTCTCTACTGGAGATATTTGACCTAAATGAATTTTTTGTTTTTGGAAATTCAAACAGTTATGATTAATTAGTAACAGGATTCTTGTCGTCCAATTGTGTTAGTAATCATACTTGTGATGGACAAATTGGACTCCTGCTTTGTGGTAATCCAATTTTGTGAATCTCTTGTATGATTACAGAGCGAATTGTTCTTCACTCAGTCCTATTACCATTATCAACTAAAAGGCTAGTGGAGAAAGAAACTATTTTTTTATAAACTAATTTATATTACAACTTTCCCTTTTACCATGAAAAGATACATTTGTTCCAGTAGTTACTAATTTCATTAACACTCGAGGATTATAACAAACTTATGCTACATATCGTAACATTATCTTAACAAGTGCATGAAGGACAAAAACGCTTCATACCCAAGAAACACAGTAGCCTAGATGCCAGGAGTAAGGCAGGCAGCCCTGTCAAGCTATGCAGTTTTAAAACATAACACCATTGTGGCTGAAAGACAGTTTTTATGGGCAACATTTTGGAAATTCTTGATACTGAAGAAACAGAAACCAACAATATTGCCTAACTATTTGCGGTACACCACAACCAACTTTTTGTGATAAAAGGAAAGATCAGTGAAGTAGGTGGTACTAAAGAGGTAAACACAGCCAATGATGTGAAGGAGAAAACTGACCACTATATTAGTGATCCCACTGGAACAGTAAAAGTGACACCAAGGGAGAATTTCACTATCAGTGTTCAGGATGGCAAAGATACATTTTCTCTAATTTCAGAGTTCAAGAAGAGTGTAAGTCAGAGAGATTGATGTTGAGTACACCCCTTGATGACTGCAACATGTCAGAATCATCAGAATTTACCCCACCTATGGCTGAACCTCTTCAACTGCTAGATTGTTTCACAACCCCTAAGGCAAAGGTACACTGTAAATACTATTGGTATCACTCAGTTTGGAAAATACCTCTCCTGTTTACAGTGTAACTAGAAAATAGCTGATGGATGGTTTGCTTTCAATATCTTGAAGTGTCATTACTGCAGCCTTACCCAGAAAAGGAAAAATGCAAAGAAAAGTGCTGCATCCAAGCTTAAGAGTCACATGATGATAGTCAGTTTTATTACATTTTTCCACTAGGAAATTCTGGATATATTGAATATCCCATTTTTTGAAATATCTTGAGATGAGGCAGTTGTCATAGAAATTGTTGAATTTTCCATAATTAAAAAAGTCAGTTTTGAAAACAAACTAAAATAGTAAAAATTACAGAGGTTAAGATGTTAAGACATGTGATGGCCTCACTAGAATTTGAGCAATGTTGGATGGGGGATGCTCAAGATCGAGGACAAAGTTAAGCAAAACAATGATGTTCTGTTTACTTTCTATTACAGTCTACTGTTTAAGGGCCACAATTCTTGTGTCAGTTGTTGTATTGTTATGTCACTTATAATAAGATAATTTGTTTTTATCAACTGAGTTAATGATGTAAATTGGCCACTGTAAAGAGTTTCTAAAGCAGACATTTTAAGCACTCACCCTTTGCAATTAATAAACAGTTCACCTTGAGAGGGAAAAATGTTTGTAATTCTGTTCCTGTTTCCAGGAGACGCTTTTATGCACTGCTGAAATTAGATTGTACTCAATTTTACTCAAATTCACTCTACAACCGAAAACCCTCAAAAAAACTTGTAGCTGAATGCAACTTATACACTTCTTGTTCATTTTTAAAATGAAAAAAAAAATAGAGACTGCACTTACAACATTGTTGTAACATCTTGTTTCAGATATGGAATAACGTTTTACTTGTTTTACGGTCAAGCGTCTTCCATTTACATAAATGTGAGTAGGTGAGACATCATCTCGCGCTGGACACATGTACGCATTGTGGACCTATTTTCTCCTTGTGCCATCTCGTTACTGCGGCTTAGTAGGTCGTGCGGTGCCTCTGAAGTCAGCTTACAGGCTATCGTTGACGAAAGTGGAAGAGTAAGTGGCTGCCATTTTGGACTCTCAAAAAAGAAGATTGGGGAAAAATAAATTTCGGGAGACGTTTGATAGCGAGAAGCTTTCGCTTGTCTTAACGTGGGAAAGGGTTCCACTGGACTTAGAGATGTAGCTGTTTTCTCGCTCCTTTACATCTAAATCCCGTAGGGGGTCTGTATTCATCTTGATGCGTTTTTTTGGCGTTAAGTTGAAAAAAAAAAGTTAAACAACTTCTTTAAACTTTTTATAATAAAACTCCATCGGTATTTTGAGTTCTGTAAATTTTTCTTTTCCAAGCCGGGACAGTCTTTGGTTAACCGGTCAAGTTGCCCGAAGTGAAACATGTTTGAGTAACACCAGAAGCGTTGTTCGTTTCTAACAACGAAGTGAAGCGTTGTTTGTTTGGTATCATGCAGTAGATCTTTAAATTACTTAAGCAGAAATCCATGAGTGGGTGTTATGGTCTGCCACTTAATTTCTGGAAAATTGAAGTCGCCAACTAAATAACTGTTATAAAATTTTTTTAGTTCAATTTATTTACACATTACTGCATTCTTGAAGTGTAGCATCTGTTTGTCTTTAACAAACTCCAACTAAAATACTTTCTTTGATTCTCTGGCATATTTTTTTCAGTCAATTCTCGTCGAACTACAGAAAGAACCCAATTTAGTATGTCTCTAAGGTGGATAAAGTACTCTTCTAAATAAGTACCCTTCAACACTAGAATCCAAACAGATTCAGTTCAGTAGGTGAAACAACGGGAAACTGACTTTCTAAAAGCAAGATCTGTTGATCAAGGACTTTGTTCCTCGTACTACTAGCTCTTTTAGGGGCAATGCAGAAAGTTTGCCGACTTATCCTTGCTACAGGTCTCGATCTATGCAGAAAGCTCAGAGCCAGTTCAGTCTGCAAGCGGTTTTCTGCTGAACGTTCAAAAAAGTCAGGCAGTTGAGGTAGAGCACAGTCAGAGCAGATCCATTATTCCACAAAAGATGCCTTCTTCGGGAAGAGACTCGCACCCGATTTCAATGCGATAGGCTGATGCCAATGAAGCAGTTCACATACTTATAAGCCAGTTTCCGCCGGACTACCTTAAGCCTTTTGTTTAGTAATACGTTTAGTAGCCTTGGTCACACAGAACCTTTCCCGTAAAGTTCAGCAAGATCTGGTGGTCACTTTCGAGGCTTTTCTTTTTCTATTTTGTGTGTTTTAATAGTTCCGTTTTTACTCTGTAGTGTTTTTCTATACTTTTTGACGAATGCTATTTCCATAGCAACGATGGTTAAAGCTCGGAATGCCTTCCTTTTTGAAGGGAGAGCGACAGTTCATATCGCACATTTTCCACAAGGGAAGGTCTTGTTCTTCACTTTTTCCCCTCGATCCCTTTGAGTTTCATAACCATCGTATGGAACCAAGTTACCTATTTCCCGGCCCCGAAATAATTTGAGTCGACCAGCTTTATGATTAATTTCATGTCATTGTTTCGTCAACAAATTTCGGGTTATGAAATAAGATTTTTATCTGATATTAAAGCTGAAACTTTCTATTCATTTGTTCCTTGTTGTCTTTGTTTCACCAAAAAGTGCCATGCTCAGGGAATGCAATTTTGTGAAATAAATCTAGCGACTAGCGTTAAGAGATTTTCATTAATTAGTTTCATTCGCTTCCTTCTTGCTGTGACTTTTCACCCTTACCCTCCCCACCCTCAAACAACGAACCCAGCGGCTAAAGTTTTGATTGGCGGAATTAAATGACGTGCCTGTTTTCCACCAATCGATTTCCCGGCGAGAATGAGAAGATTTCTAGAGTCTTGTATTATGGAGAAGTAATGGCGTTTTCCGCCCAGACAGACCATGGGCAAAATGAACATAAAGACGCAGTTTTGTGCGAAATTGGCAAAGAAACATCGAAAGATAACACGAAGGTTTGTGTTAGCATCGTAGGTTTCATGACTGTCCCATTGATGCAGCTGGAAGCTGTTTTTTTTATGCAAACTACGAGGGAGCCATTGTGCCACTCTCGCTAAGAGCGTTAGCATACAGAAAATTTGGCTTTTTTTCTCTTTTTGTGTTTTTCTTTCTTCATGCCCTTTTTAGAATTGCACAATTTCTTGAGTATTAATCCTAGTTCTCACACCTTTTTCGGAATTGTTACCAGTTTGTCCCGAACCCCGCTGCCAAGCCGTTTGTACCTTCCAACTTGAATTCAACATTGGGTCGCTCAAACAGGACATGGGCAACTATCGAAGGACAACATTCAAGGGTAAGTACAAGGTATTTATTTTATTAGATATTCGGAGTTGAAATTCGTTTTTGCAAGAAAACACAACTGTTCCTAGTTACATGATTTGAGTAGTGAAGCGTCTACTTTCGGGTCACAATGTAAGCTGAGCCAATGCCGCTCGGCTCCGTTCCGGGTCGGTGTTTGTAAAGAAGCAAGTAGCGGCGCATGAACGATCTAATGCTCCCCGAATTTCACGAGATGAAAGATTTTGAAGATTACGGTTTCTTTATGCTATTGCCCACTTCGACATGATCATCAGCTATATTTTCGAAAATGTAGTCCTTGGAGACAGCAGTCAACTGAGTTCTTACAATTTCGAAACTCGGCAAGCGTTTGCCAACACAAGAATTATTGCGCTCAGATCTGTTCGATAGCAGCCTTCAAGTTTTCTTACCCATCGGTTTGCCGTTTTCTCGTTGTAGGGAAATTATTTTTCACGTAAATAACGACGTTATTACTCTTTGTGATAAAGTTATTTATTTGACGAAAAAAAAATGTATGGTTTACTTGTTTTTGTGGGCTGTTGGTTCAGTGTGGATTTGCCCTGAGACATATTTTTTTCTCCAATTCGATTCACCCGGCGTAACGATATATTTCAAAAACCGAATTTTTGATATTTATGGAAATAAAAATCATACTCATCTTGAAGTTAGTTCCGACCGGATTTTAGCCATAATTTTACGTAATATACGTTCCGTGTTCTGTTGGTCATCGCTATTCTAATTATAGATTCGGTGAATCTGAAGGCGAGAGATCTATTTGTAAAAATAGTTTCGTCTGAATAATTCCTATTTTGGACTACATCGTCAAAGTTTTAAATCGATGATGGAAAATCCCTATTATTTTCTAATCTTTTTTTGTGATATCTGGAGTTCAGCTGTTATACCTTCGAAGTCTGTCAATTTACTCAAGTGCATCGAAAGGCTGTCGTATATTTCAACGAATTTCTTCTTCTATAGAGGCTTATTTCCCTTGGTGGGGGAGTTTTCAGAAGTGATCTTGTCCTTCTTGGATTTGTTCTCTTGGACTTGTTTGAGTCAAATGGCAATCACTTTTGTAGATTTACTTATTAACAGGCTCCCTCATCATAACAACTTTTATGATATTGCTGTTGCTCATGGTTGATGTGAAGTGTGCCCTTATTGGCTTGGTGTTAGGGCATTATTCTCCAGCTATACCCACAGGCCACAAAACCAATGATAAATAATGGTAATAGGACCAAGTGGAGTCCAATTCAGCCTGTAATCATACAAGGGATTAACAAAATTAGACTAGTGTAAAGGGGAAGTCAATTAATTTTGTCAAGCACAAGTATGATTACAGTCAGAATTGGACGACAAGAAGTCCTCTTACTTATTAATCATAAACATTACAGTTTCCGAAAAATACTAAATACATTTAGGTCAGATATCTTCGGTTGAGACAGTGTCAAAGGAAACTGAATTTCTCCATTTGGAAAATTCCTAAGCTTTTTTCGGTTAGGATAAGTGGTTGTTGCTATGGTTATTGTGGTTAATTCTGTGATTGGTGGATTTGGCTGAGTAGACTTAGTATGATTGGTTACTTCAACTGCCCAATTACAAGTGTCTGATTACAGTCAACTGTCTAATTACTCTATGCTCACTTATGCTTTACTCTGACGTAGGGCTAATGCTTGAAACATCAGCATTACAACTCTTTCTGTGGCCAATACTTAATTACCTTGCCCGATTACACTTTCCAATTACAATTGTACAGAATGAGTTGTGAAAAACAAAGCAGATAATGCACCAATCACATATGAAGAAATTGTAATGGTTAAGATTATTCAAGAAATAACTTCTTGTGGAAATTCAAACACATGAAGGTGATAAGGGCCATTAAACACTACAAAAGAGAAGATTTTTCAACAACTTTACCAACAACTAAAATTTTTAGGAATAACAGGAATAATTGAGTCTGAGTCATTTCAAGTTTCTAGCTGCAAGGTTCCAAAGGCAAATCCCATTTCAAAATTCTATTGATTAAGGAATTCACACTTTTCTCTCATGTCTCCCTACTCAACACAAGTTAACATACCCCTTCGCAGGTTTTTTTTTTGTGGGTTAATGTAATGGGCTAGGTGCAAAAGCATTCAAAGTTTGTAGTCAGATAAATCACCAAGTAAAAGCATCAGCAAATCTAACAAACACCTCTAACTGAACTCCACAGGAAGGTCGTAATTTCTTTGATTCTGAACCAGTTGTCAAGGATTTCATATGACAGTTTGTGTTGGATATCAATAAATTCTCTAGCTATATGATTGATACAAGCAGGTTTAAATCAAGTTAAGAGTGGTAGTGCTATTTGGCTTTGTGTTGTGCCAGGATCAGGAAATTATCAATCAGGAAGAATTTTAGTGGTAGTGTTTCTTTTCCTATCTGTGATCTGGTTGATAAGGATGAAAATTCTAGCCCCTCAAACAGACCACTACCTTTTAAAGGGGTAAGTTTCTAAAGAAACTGTGGTGTTGCATTGGTGAGAGAGTATAGCAGGTAATTTAGTGTTAACAACTGAGTTGAAAATGTAAATTAGTCATCGTAAAGGGTAAAAAACTGACGTTTTGAGCATTAGCCCTTTGTCTATCGCTCTGACGAAGGGCTAACACTCCTTTACGGTGGCTAATTTAAAAACTCAGTTGTTAACACTAAATTACCAGCATTACCTTTTAAAAAAGTCAACAATTAGTCACTAAAGTGGATGTGACCAGTGGTGGATATTTTTTAAATAACCACTGCTAGCCACGGACTCTGAGATGAATAGTTGTATTATTATATACTAAATGTTACATGTAGAAAGTGATTGCAGCATGTTGCAAATGGTAATTTGTTCAATGAAATAATGCCAACTTCGTGTTGCATTTTTTCAACTGGTTTCATGACTTATTATCAATGCTTTATTTCAGATACAGTACAAGTAGGATTTCACAATTACCATAATTGATTTAAACTAAGGTTGAGAAATCCAATTGTTTTTGCCTCCTATAGGTTTTTAATCTTGGTGGAAATATTACCAGTTTGAAGGCTGCAAGGCATAATGTGATTGTCCCACAGCCCTACATGAATGGTCCACATAGTATAGATCATGCTAACAGCTGTGGAATCCCTCCAGAAGAACCCAGGACACCAACAACCCCTCAATCTAACAACCACATAGCTTTTCACCTTGTTTCTAAAGTTCTTGAGGATGAAAGCATTTTTAATTTTTCAAGCATTGAGGAAGCAAATCCAGGTGTAGAGCCATTCTCACCTCTTTCTCTGATACATCCTGATAGGTATGGTAATCCTTAGAAGTTTTTGTGCGTGATAGTATCCTTAAGTGTGCCTGACCTACATGGATCACAAGTGACTAAATACGGGGTTGCAGAGGAAGCTTTCAACAACAAATCACATGCCTGTTTTTTTCTCAATTCCTTTTTCACATGCACTTTGTAAGTCTTCTCCATGAACATTTTTTTGGTTGCATGGAATGAAAGCAGGCAATCCCCATCTTGCCTGCTTGGGTAGCCAGTTACCGTAATTTCCGGTCGTTTACCCGCAGGTAATCTGTTGATTTTGCATTAAACGTGCACCACTGCAGGTAATAGGGAGGTGCAGGTTATGTGACAATTTTAAAATCTAGTGGTAGTTGAATTGAAAAAAATTATCACCACCATGCGTTTCCACCTCTCAAATGAAGTTTATTGTATTAAGAGTGACGCAAAGTGGCACAAAAACATGATGCTGACACGAGTTTATTTCACGCATAATTAGTTGCGCGATGAACAAATTGTTATCAGCACGACAAAACTCGACAAAGACACTTTCAAGTTTTCGAAAGTTGGATCAGAAAACTTTTAAAAGACTGAAATGTATCACCTTAATGTCACGTTTTCACCACCAAAAAGTTGAATAACATAATGTGCGGGTTATCCACCAGTGTGGGCAATCTGTTGACTTTTTTTTTTCGCTGTATGCAATAATCGGCTGGTGCAGGTAATCGGCCGTGCGGGTAAACGACTGGAAATTACGGTATATCTGTTACAGATTCCCAGGATTCCCTTATCTCAAACTCACACAATATGGGTATGGCTATGGGTTTGAGTATTCCACCTCAAGTTTTGTTTGTTGTCTGTTTCAGTTTTGATGGCACATCTCATTCATGGCCCCTTTCAGCTGTACCCAATGGTACCATTCCAGTTCCTGCATCAACATCCAATCACAGTAATGCAGCAGCTAGAAACTTTGGTTCTTTTCCTGGTCAAACTATCTGGTCATCAGAAGTGATTGCCCATAGCACCCCACCTTTGTCACCAGTTGATTTGTCCCCACCCTCAAGTTTAACAAATTCTTCACTGGGAACTACCCCTCCATTTCCCTCAACCCCATTAATTCCTGCAAGTTCTCTGACCAATTCATCAGGCAGTACATCACCTACTGTGAATGGTTATAATGATGAACTCTCTCCCTTCCCATCCCCAACTGGGCAGCAGTTTGGTTCACAAGACACCTTGCCAACTATGTTCATGCCAATTAAAGATGCATCTACAGGAGGCAAGGGATGGAACTCTTCAGAATCTGGTTACTATTCAAGTAATGGCTCCAGTCGTCGTTCTCAACCATCCCCAAGCTCAGCCCCTGGACTAGCACAATTTGTTTCTTCTCCTAAGACACGCCCACAGTCTCTAAATTTAACTAATGGCCACCATTACTGTAGTTCACCCAGTATGTCCCCTTCTTCACCGCCAGGACCAGTTCATAGCCACTCAGCTCCAAAGCATTTTAGTTCAAGTTATGATGTGAATGGAGGGTCATGGCTCAAACATACATCAGGCAGAGAGCATATTCCTCCAAGCTCTTTGCCAAGGGATGCAAATGGACATTCTGGAGGTCATGTGATTTTGCATCGTACTAAGAGTCCACTGACAAGTGAGCTGCACTATAGACTTGAAGAGTGTTATGAACAATTGCGGTGTCTAGAGAAAGAGCGAAAAAAGGTACTTGTTTGTGTGAGCTTTCACCTATTAGTTCTCCTTTTGGGTATTTTGTGACATGTTAAACGCTGTATTCAGTGTAATTTTTTTAAAAGTAAAGTCATGTTTATCACTTCAGTCTGTCACTCATCTTTATTTTAGATTATAGTTGGGCATTGCAAGATTTGTGCACGTAAGATAATTATTCATTTTGCTTTAACTGTAACTGAAATGTTCTTTTTGTCTTTGTAGGCAGAGGCTGAAATCTCACACCTATGGTCAGGGCGAAGACTCTCATCTGGAAATGCAACAAATGTTAGACCTCCCCCTAATCCATCAAGAGTGGACAAGCTAATTGTGGATCATTTGCGAGAACATGCAAAGGTATTTGTACATATTTCAGCAGTCGTTTGTTAAAGGGAAAGTGACTGCTGTGTAATTGATTTCCCTAAAAGAACATTGTTCAGATTTACCAGTGTCCAAAAGAGGAGTCCTGAATCTTTTTCTTTATTCCTGTGTTATCAGTCAAGGAACTTCACCCTATTAGAGAGGGCTAGTACCAGGTTGGTGGCATGAAAACCCCTTATGATGGGAACTTTTCACCTTTAAACCTTTGTTTGAAGACATCAGCAATAAAAAATTACATTGAATGGTTGGAAGGCATCTCAAAATTTGGAAAGTATCCCTTCAAGTGTTAAAATAAAGTTTCAGAAGTGTTCTTGCAGCCTATAAGATTAAGGCAAATTTGAGGAATTAGTAATTATGAGTCTCACTTCAGCTTATAACAAACAATTTCTCAAGATAATGACTCTGGTGATTCAGCTTGCTGAAACAGTCTTTTTTTAAGACTACTCTCAACACAATGATCAGAGTAGATGATCAACTAGTACCAAAGTGGAGATATTATCTCTGTGGACAGTCAAAGTAGGAGATTGAAAGATGACTCCTGTCCATTTTGGTTTATTTTAGTTGACATCATTTGTAGCATGATAATTGTAAAGGGTGTTTTTGCTCCGTTTCTTTCTGTGAATCTCCTTTAGCATGTGACAAGCTTCCCATTACTCCTGTTGGGAACATGTTTACTTCAACCATGTGCTATCTGGTTCGAAGACCAGGAGACTATGTTTTGTTACAACTCACTGAATTTTGCAAATATATTTACAGTACCAATTAACAAAAAAGAAAGAACTTCGCTTTTGGTAAAATATAGCTTCAATCTAAACTAAAATCACTGTATCACCAACACTTTCTAGTTGTGATACATTTGCTTTCTTACCTGTTTGGTTCATGTATGTTTTTGCAATTTTTAAGGTTGAAAGGTTGGGTGGTGTGATATCACTACTAAGTTAATTATTTAAAATGGCAGCATTTTGGCCACTTGGAAGTGGATTTTCATTAGGATTGGAGCAACTTTTTTTTCCACATTCAAAACATGTGGCTGCATACTGAAAAGGTCTCTTGCACAATACGGTGCACAGAAGTATGTTATTAACCATGGCTTACCTTGCAATAGGAGACCATTCGCAACACATAAAAGTCTTAAGATCATACAAATTAATTGACCAATGTCCTCTTAAGTTTACTGATTAAACCTATTTTATCAAGAGTTCACTGCTTAACTGGCTTCTTTAATGGCGTTTGGTGACTATAGCTTGACCCCCTTGACACCCTCTTATATCCTTTCAGCAAGAGTGAAATCCCTCCTTTATAATTACTAAAGCAGATGCTAATTATTTCATTACATACATATTTGTGTACACATGTATATATTTGGGTTATTAAGCAAGAATGATGCCCGTTAGTAAAGAAATATTCTATGCTGTTTAATTGTATTTCTGTAATGTGTGAATTGTTATGTAAATGCTGTTTAGGTTGAAGCCTTAGTTGGACGAATTGAACGCATTCGTCACTCTCCTCTCCATGTCAGCATTAGTGAGGGAGTTGATCTGTGGCACAATGGAATTCGTGAATTGCAGAATCGTAGGAGGGAGGAACTTAGTAGCAGTAATTGCTCAAGAAGTAGGCTGAATGGTTCTCTACGGAATCAAGATATTACAGGTATTGTCAGTTTAATTCCTTCAAGAAAGACTTCAAAACTCTGAAGTTAAACAAGAAAGGGACTGTTAGCCAGGAAGACACACTGATGAAATTTTTAATGGGAATCTAGTAAATTCTTTATCTAGTATGGAGGTAGACAATATCACTGAGCAGATTGGAGACTGAAGTGTTCTGAACAAGCCACTTAATTAAAAAAAAGCCATTAAAAATTAAAAGCAAAAACACAAACATTGGACTCTGAATAAATAGCATCAGTGAAATCTCTCTAGGAACAGGTTACCACAAATTTTCCCCAAAAAATGCAATCTTGAAAACTTCAGGGTAGGCAATTGGTAACAACGTCAAGGCTAGTACAACTACAGAATAACTACTTGCAAATAGCCTTTAATTGTGAACAAATAGGATTGGTACTAATGGTATTCCCATCCATTTTTACATAGCTGTATGGAATGAGCCAGTGTGTTAAATCTGTGTACAGTAATTTACATCAACTATTTGTGGATGGAAGATCAGAATTAGCTTGTTTGAGTTTGTTATCTGTTATCCTAGTGTCTTATGCTTAAAAAAAACCTGACTCACTCGTGTTTCTATGATAAGCCATATACAAGCTTGTATCCAAGTTAGCTTTTTTTACTGCAGTTGTTGACCCACATCATAAATATGTAATGATAAGCATCATGATTTTTCTCATTTATTTCTATTTATTTATGTATTTGTTTGTTTGTTTTAATCCTTCACAGAACTCTCAGCCTTAATATCAGCTGTGAAGACACTGACACAAAACACACGTGCAACCCGCACAATCATTTGGTGTGCTAATCAGCTTGTCATTGGTGATACTGCAGTTAATGACAACACTTCAAATGATGTTGACAACACAGTTGTGATATCCAAGGAAGTCATTGTGGATGTGTCTTGACAGATTGCTCATACAATTAGATGGTTTCATCCCCCAACTATACTTGAAGTGCGTCACATAATTGGAAATGAATTCCAGTGGCATAAATTGGTTCAGTGCTACTGAGTATCATCAACCTTCCAACATTGTGGAGAAAATCTGGTAGATCAAACCTCAACACAAGACCCCTGACCTTTGCATTGAAAAAAGGTGACAAGTTTGCAATCAATTATAAATTGAACTGAATCAAGGTGCATTATGGGAACAGTAATCTGGTAATAGAGAAATTCTGCTTGGCAATGGTGCTTCAGGTTTTTTCCTTTGGGTTTCCAAGCAACATGTACTTAGTTGTAAGAATGACTGAAGCAGGAGTCAAAGGAGGAAATAATTTTTTATATGGCAAAGCAAGTGAACCTTGCAGTGTAAAGTACTGCCTAACTAATTGGATTTTAAGTGTTTTTCCACATTTATGGTTCAAGAAATGCATTGAAGCTAGCGAGATAAAGGCATCAATTATGTCTATCAATCATTTTGAGAAAGAATTGGCAAAGAACACTGAGGGTGTTGGAATGGTTGATATTGAATACAATTATGAATGTAACTTCCCACACTTAGCTTCAGTGTGTCAGTGTTGCTAGGCAACAGACATTTTATAGCAGAAGATTGTACTTACTCAGGCAAGCAATATTTTTCTTCTTTCATGCATTCCATTCATGCACCAGAATGTTCCAACAAATAAGTCACAGTTGTGCAATGGGTTGGGGAAGGTGAAAAGGAGTCTTGGCAGGCCAAGTGTTTCTTACTAGTGAATAAATGAAAGGAAACATGGCAGATACAACATTTTGAATAATTTGTGCAACTTTGTGTTGCTCTAAGCAGAGTTCACTTATTTGTGTCCTAAGAAGACTAATGAAATTTTCTCATTAATCACCACCTTCCCAACCTGGTAACTTTACTCATGTCATCCATCATTAATGAAACAAATCAGGTTAATCATTTCTGATAATTATTCTGCACACTTAGTTTCTGGTGATAAATAACTCATCTCATTGAAGATTGGCAAATTAAGTGCAGCTTAACATATTGTTACATCCATGACAAGTGTTCATCAATTTGCAGTCCAGCTCTTGAAGCACTTTCTGACTGTAGATAAGTCTGCAACAAGAATAGCATGTGTAACCACCAACGTGACAGGAGGCAGTGCTTGTATGGAGAAAATTCTCAGCCAGTTCTTATTGCTTTACTGCTGAATACATCCAGACATCTTCCAATGGAAATGTTCCAAAAATAAAAGCGCATTATTTCGTTGAATTGTTTGTTGTTGTTTAGCTATGTTCAAGTATGTTCAAGTCTTGATGCTGTTTGTTTAATTGTTAGGAGTATAAACCTTCAACTTGAACATTTTCCATCTTTTTGCCTTTTCTTTTTAAAGGCCTGTTACATACTATTTGGCAATCTCCATCACTTGGCCTTCAAATTAGATGAAGCCAATTGGACTCTATCTGGGAAAGCTTCAGAAAAACTTAACCTTACTTTCCCAATTTTCTTTTAGTTGCTAATAATGCACAGGAGTCATCCATGTCTGGTTTATGGCTTTAAGCCTGTAACTATAGAAGTAAACTTGTTTCATAGTCAGTTTGACATTGTACATGACTGAACATGATGATGTGGGTAAAAAATAATTTAAAAAAAACCTGGTAATTTGGTACTATCAACTAGTTGATAATGTAAATTGGCCACTATTAAGAGTTTGAAAGCTGATGTTCCCAAACGTAAGCTTGCGATTGGAATTCAGCTTTGAAACTCTTAACACTGGCCAAATCATGCTAGTAACCCAGTTGATAACACCAATTTATCTAGTTATACTCTGCCCCTAACACAGCACTATAGTTTCTTTAGAAACTCACTCCCTTATTAAAAAAAGACCACTCTTGGTCATTGAAAGAGGTATGTTATTTGCGTAAATCAGATTCATTGGGTTATCTTGCTGGCACCAATTAAATCAGTTAGGGCTTGTTGCTTGCATCAATTAGGCCCTGGATGTTTGAAGGGTGGATAATGCTACCCGCTGAACAAATTTGTATCTGGAGAATAGCATAGTACATTTTGCAATTACTTAACTGATGGAGAGCATTATCTGCACTCTTTACAACTGGGCCCAGATTCATAAAGGTATGCTTGTACTAGTTTTCTACAGGGTTTGTTGCTAACACCATTCACAATGCACCCTTGAGGTGTTTTGCAGTTTTCTTGTCATTGGTGTTGTGTAGTTAATCAAGATTCTAAAGTCTTTTTAGAGTAGCATGCTATCACATACAGGATATGGTTTAATTTGCTGTGCAGTTGCTCACTAAGGTTTAAAAAAACTTGGTTTGTCACATTTACCTTCTGCTTAAACCTCTTGCGTGTGGCAATATTTTCTTTGATTTTTTAAGTTCTCCATGTGTTCACTTGGCTGTATTGGGTAATCCACCATGAAAAGTAGGTCATTACTTGTCATATGCAGTGGTATGCGAAAGCAATTGAAGTAATATTCTCATTCTACATTAAAAGTAATTTCACTTAATCAGAGTTGAGAACCTAAAACATGCTCTTGGTCTGGGTACATCAAGGATAAATTGGACTTATGACTTTTTTGTACATGTGCCAAACCATTTTGTGTGGTGTTAAATTAACTTAGATTAGAGAAGTTTGTCTCCAAAATGGCCTTTTGAACACACCCCATGATTCCATGAAATTCCACAAATTCCATTACACCAAGTGAAATATTTTGTTTTTCCCACATTATTAGTAGAATCATAGAGCACGTGAAAATTTCAAGTCATTGCCATAAATCTGTCATAAGATATTTTATTCCCAAAATTTGCAAAAATTCACCAAATTAGCCTCTAGTACTACCTTAATTCATACGGTTTCTTAACTGCATAGTTCAAGGATAAATTTTTAAGACACCCAGAACTTCTGAATTGTAGGTTTCAAAATTTAAACACTAAACCTGGTAGTTAAAATGTACTTCACTTATTTCTATTACACATGGTCTGTCCAGGTACCATCATTTTATTTACCTTGCATTAAAAGTTACATAGAATTGCAAATGAATCAAACTTAGCTTTGTAACAACTGAAAATAGTGCAACATTCAATTTCAGTGAAACTGATTTATTAGTTGAAGATTTTAACCCCTTCTCATAATTGTGTTGGGTAATCAAGTTCCTAGTAAGTGGTAAAGCTGGAATTTGGTGATAAAATTAAAATACTACAATATAAAATAAAAAATTAAGGAAGTAGCACTGGCCGTCAAAAATATGCAAGTATGCTAACTATCTGCCCTGCCATCATGTTCACATTAGCTCCATCACTCTGGTAAAAAGGGGAATGACAAATTTTCCCCATGAGCTTATGTCAGTAACTGTAATGTTCCTAGTCAATGTTTTTTTTTCATCAGGTTGAACATTTTGGGTAATAAAATTAAGAATTAGGTGCACTGCAATTGTTTATCATAGAACTAAAAGTATAGCTCCAACTAATAAGTAACTGTAGTTCCCACTTTTGTTGCTTAAATCTTTTATTGTAAACAATATAGATGTAAACTTGTCTTTGAACTGTTAAAAAATAAACCACTGACCATGTCTCCTACAGCTTAGATAGGAGGACATCTGAATCAAAAAACACTACAGTAACAGTAATATCATCTCTCCACATACGTCTATATTGCTCTGGAACCAATAACATCTGAGCTACATAGCCATGGTCATTACCACCCAAGGCATGACGAATGAGATGAGTAGCTGCATTTTGTTCCAGAACTTCATCCCCTGCATCTTTGATGTCAGTGGGAGCTACAGCAATCTCTTTATCTTTCCTATCCTGCTGAAGAAAACTGGCAACCAAGCCAACAGCTTGCTCATCGCTAAGAACATCCCACAAGCCATCTGTGGCAAGGATAAGGAATTTATCATGGGGTTGTAAACGGTGATGTGTAACAACAGGTCTTGCTGTGAGGTAAGGTGGAGTTATATACATATTTGGTGGAACAATAGGACCCCCATACACCTGTGTGAGAACATGGGAATGGGTTACTTTATCCCACTTGTATTGAATGTCACCAAATGATCTTAGTGGCTGTAGTTGTCCAAGGAGACGCTTGTTCTTTATGACAAAGGCTTCACCAGGGTGCTCTAACCTAAGTCTCTCTACTTCATCATCATTCTCAGCTGTTTGATCAACAGAGAGGGGAGTAGCCAGCCAAGAGCCATCCCCTTTTGTACTTCCAAGAACAGCTCTACAATCACCTGGAATACAAATTTAAAAAAATGAATCAATCACTTATTTTAAAATACAGTGACAGTTTCTCATCCCAACAAGATAAAATTGCATAGTATATATAAACAATCAACACATATAATCGTTTTTTAGACCAACAAATAATCTCTAGGAATTTTGATAGACTACCTTCAGAGTGTCCCATGGCGTTGACTTTTCAAAGAGGATATGTAGCCAGGGAGTGTACCTAAAACTGCTGATCCTCCCTAAACTTCTTTATTAAGAGTTTTGCCCCCCTCTTGCCAATCTGAAATAGCCTTGACCACCCTTCCTTTTCTTTCTTCCCTTCCCCCACTTTACATAAACAATGGCCAGTCCCTTTATTTAGTAAAATGACCTTACAACAGATATCCCCATTACCATGTTACTGCTGTAATCCTCCCAGCATTACATAAATATCAGTAAAATGCAATGAAAAGACTGCTTTACTCTACATAGCTGATCATGTGTTACTGTCTACACACATACCTGTGTTTGCCACATAGATGTTTTGTCCCTCAATATAAGATACTAACGCACAAGCCCCTGAAGCTCCAGCAACAAAGGAGTCGTCAAGAACTTTTACTGGTATGGCTTCAGTAGAAATATCGTCATCTAATTGTGTAAAAGCCAAACTAAGGGATTCCTGAGTAGGCATTCGACCTTCAAAAGGCTTCCCTATCAAGCTTTTGATAAAGTACTTTGGTCCTGTTTGAAAAACTTCTTGTTTTTGACTTAAAGTATAACCAAAATTGCTCTGAGATGTGCTTTCCATTGCTGGTAACCTGTCCTGTAAAATTTTAACAAAATCATCCCCTGAGAAACCTTTCGAGAGATTTCTCTCCAAGATGGTCAAATCAGATTTTGTAAGGAAAGATACAGCAAGATAGAGAGGTAAACGATTTTTAACCATTTCTGCACACTGCCAGCCACCGTGCCCATCGAATACACCAAAGGTTGTACCGTTTGTTTTCAATAACAGCCATTCGTTGGCCCGATCTTCACACGGAGAATTGGAAGCGAAACTGTTTGTTTCAAAGTGAGATACTACTCCAATATTCACATTCACGCTTTTTTCATTCTTTCGCAAAATTTCACTGGCCTCTTTAGGACTTATTGGAGGTTTCTCTGAACCTTTAGGGCCCTGTACAAAATTATGGATCCATTTCTGCAAAAGGTCTCGTAATCCAACGGAGCTTGACGCATCTTCTTCTCCGCTGCCAGCACGAACCGTTAGGGACCTGTTGAAACCAAACGTGTACATGGAGCCAAAGAAAGCGGCTGTTGCGCCGAATACTGGCCATTTCCATTTACTCAAGGTTCCAAAAAATTCTGCTCTGTTCATTAGGGACATGGGACGATATTTAAGATTCTTAGAACAAACTAAACGAGAAAATCAACCACACCATCACGTGTTAGTGGTCGTCCCGTCTGACCGCCATAGTAGTATGTCATGATGGAGCTATGATGGATGTTTCGCAGTTAGGATCCAGACTCTCTGAGGTGTTGCTCTACACCCTGGAAACGAGGTAAACCCCGCCCTCTACTCCGCCCTGTTTCCCGCCCTCGGACTCAATTGCTTCCGGACCGTCTCGTAACTCAATGGTCAGGGTCCATGTCAATTTTAAATTCTAAGAGAGCACTTTCCCATGACATCCTGTTTTCAGGCAGGTTTTAAGTGACCCCTTCACATAACTATGACTGAATTCCTGAACCAGTATCTTTGATGAAAGAGTTTCTGCTCCCACTCAACTAAATTCACAAAGCTCCACAAATCATGAATTGTTCCCGTACCTGAATCAATACTAAATAGCCCCACAAAGCTTCAGGGGAAAGAGGTCAGGATTTATTCTGACAAGTGCTCGTTACCCTGACTGAAATTGGCGATTTGTAATCCTTGGGTATTCATGTGATTACCACGGAAGAATATAAATGATCACATATTTAATTAGCGGAAACAAGTACGCAGCAAAAGACCTTTAGATGCGACTTAACAAATTTGATATTTAAGTGCTACAAATATTCCTCTGAGTAAGAAAAAGTATTATCAAAGTGTGAATTGTGTAGCATTTATGCACATAGCTGGGTCTCAAATGAACAAGAGAATTCATATAATAATTGGAAATTTTTCCTTTCTCTCGGCCAAGGACGTTGCTTTGCTGAAAGTGGTACCCAGTCAGGGGGCAGTATGGGTTAAGGCCTATGCTTCTCCTGGCTTCTGTTTCTACCATTTCTTCCAACGCAATGAGGATCATTTTCTTTTTTGCTCTGCTTGTTTTTTGTCAATTTGGCTCTGATAAAGTGAAACAAATAAAAACAAAAACAAAAACAAAACAAACCTATGCCCTTCAATTTTAATATGCACAACTTCCTACCACATTTACACATGTCCAACCAAATGGAGGTTTAACCCTTCAACTCCCAAGATCTCATTAGTAATTCTCCTTACTATCTCCCATACAGTTCTAGTGATGTTAGTTTGGAGAATTTGGTATTGGATCAACTAATAATCCCCAAATTAATATTTTTCTATATTCTCATCACTTTTCTGCTCAATATTGTATTGATATTGTAAGGAGAAATTCTGTCTTGGTCACTGATGGGAGTGAAAGGGTTAACCATTCTCAAAACTGTTTTGAGCAAATTCTTTAAACAGTGCCCTCTACAAAATGAATATGATCTGTTTCCAATTATCAGTTAGTTTCCATGTTGCTGTGTGTCTGTTCAGTAATAGATCACAGATCATCAAAATGTGGTAAGAACAAAAAAGTGGCAAATGGGGAGCAGCCAAGTTTGTCACTGTTGTTCATACCACCTTTTGACGTCTTCTGTGATCTATTACTGTTCAGACACATGGCAACAGAAAAGTTGTTTCAAATGATAAAAAAAAACAAAATGTTTAAGGTGATATCATCTATGCATCTGTCCTCCAACAGATCATAAATAAGAAACAATCAAAATGCATTTATAATTCACTTTATCATATAATACCTATCAGATGAATGAAAGCTATCAAAGAGTTAACTAAACAATTCTGAAAAATTTGTTGCATAAAGGAAATTCAAATTGGGTCAAGAGAAGGAGAGAAATTGTGCAAGCATCTTTTAACCAACAATGTAATTTTCAGAATTATATCAGAGGTACACTATAACTTTTGATAGCTCTATGGGAACCACTGGCTTCATGTCAACTGTAAGGAAAAGATTACCAGGATAACTCACATAAATAATATGTTATAGTCCAAAGGTACCATAACTTTGCATTACAATGGTACTAGAATACTGAAAAAAGCTGACAATTTTGTGACCTTCCACTGACAGTGGTTGGTGTTGTTTATACTGTTTGGAAGCCACAAATATACAATTTTCTTAACAAAAATAAAACCAAATGTCACATTATGGCAGGAATAGATACACCTTTGTGACAAGCAATCATGCCAGACTTAGTATCCTGGCCATATTATGTACAAATTTTTAACTATCATGATATAACTTAAAATAATTGCTGGTCCTTAGGAAATGTTCCCATATATTTGCAAATGATTGATAGCATCACTTCATCTGCTCCACCGCCAATTGACAAAAGACGGTTGTCTCTATAAGCGCGGCTGACTTCCACTTCTGAAGTAAAACCCATTCCTCCCCAGAACTGCAGGCAGGAGTCAGGTACCTCTCGTGCAAGGCGACCAGCCTTGAGTTTGAGCATTGAGGCTAGCTTGTTGACATCTTTACCTTTCATGTACAGATCTAAAGCATAGAAAAGTAAATTAGTCACCAACTTAGGATAACAATTTGTAATAACAGAGAGACCTAGAGTCCAAACATGGCACCCAAAGTGAAAAAAAGAAAAAACATTTCAATAAAAGAAACAAGGATAAAACAAAAAAAGAAACACACACACACACTTAATAAGCCTAATAAGAAGAACAAGTTCCTCTTTATGGTATGATAACATGTTTCTTATATAATCATTATTAAATTGAAAGAATTGGACCAAAGCATAGCTTTCTCTCCCTCTATGACAGTAGTAAAACTCTAACCAAAATTATTTAAAGCTGTCAAGAACCAACCTGTAGTTCTATATACAAGTGACCTGAGCAGTTCAACTTCAGTTTGAAGCTCAGCAAGGCGGAAGTGAACATACTGATTGTCTAGAATGGATTTGCCGAATGCCTTCCTTTCCCTGCAGTAGGTGGCAGTTTCAAAAATAATTCTCTCCATAGACAACAGAACTAAAACAAAAAATATATCACATAAATAACAAGAAAAGGTATCTATTATTTTGATAAAAACTCTCTGCTAAATTAAATAAAAGTTTTACTTAGTCAGTCCATTCACTTTTGTTCTTATATTTATCAAATCCTTTTCCCACAAAAGGGAAAATTTAGTGTTCATTAAAATAATAACTAAAAATAATTCTATCATTATGACTTTTATCATTACTATTTAACTGTAATATCATAATTTTTACCATTGTAATTATGAATGTGACTTGTTATTATTACTGACATAATTATAAATAAACTGTGGCCCTGCCTTGGCAAGGGGTAACTCAAGATAATTTGGTTTTATCAACTGAGTTGATAATGTAACCTTGTCTCTGTAAAGAGTTTCTAAAGGTAACCCCTAAGTTTCAGAAACTTGGAAAACCCAAACAAACCTACTCTACGGTTCACACTTCAGTATGTGATGAATATTATAGTGTTCCTGATCTTGAGCCATAGACTCTCTCAAATGTGAGCAAGAATTCTTTCTCGACTGATAATAAGAGTTTCTTATGTTGTCTTTGTTTATTGGTCATCCTATAATACCTGAAGCCCCAGCAAAAACTCTTTCCTCAACAAACTGAAACATCTGGTATGGAAACCCCATTCCTTCCTGACCAATCAGGTATGACTGTGGTACTTTCACATCCTCAAAGAAGAGCTCTGCAGTGTCTGATGAATGCATCCCAAGCTTGTTAATATTCCTTGCCTTATGGACTCCAGGTAGATTGAGAGGAACACAGATCAAAGACTTGTTTTTATGTGGTGGACCTCCACTTGTATTTGCTAAAAGACAAATCCAATCTGCCTGGAGACCATTTGTAATCCATAGCTTGCTTCCATTTATGACAAAGTCATCTGTTACAAAAAAAATCATTTGAAGCCTTATGGACACAGACAGTTTAAATAAACTGTTGAAATACTAAATCAAACAAAGTATGGATACACCCATATCAGTTTTCCTTCTGGCCTTCCCTACAAGGGCATACCCTTGTAGATTGACAAATTTATACACCTGTATCTACATGCTGTGGCTATATAATTACATTCTATAAGTAAAAGGTGTTGCTTCTGTAGTTATCAACAGAAGTAAACTAAAATATAAAACACAATAAAATATAATAACAAGGCAAAACCTTGCTTGTTCCTCAAAAAAATGGAATTAGACAGGAAACTTACAGCAGTATTCAGGCCAGTCTATTATACATAGTTCAATTGTAACCCCTCTTGGTCACCTTAACAAGATAAACAATTCCATAATATAGGATTCTTTGTCCCATTTTCAGCTTGCTGACTCAATCAAGATGTTTTGACTGTAAGTAGTCTGATAAATTAGCTGGATCAAAAATTAAGAGGTCTGGATTCAAGCCCTTGCTTGGTCATTGCATCATGTTCATAAGTAAGATACTTCACCATCACAACACAGTGTCTCTCCTCCAAGGGCATAAATGAGTAGTCATGGGAAACTAAACTATGAGCAGTCCTTTCCATCACACAAGCAAAAAAAAATTCAGAGAAAAAAAATTGATGTTAGCACATCACAGGGAGCTCTTGATGCACTGCAGGGGCTTTATGAATGAGGCTCTCAAAAAATAGGGACTACAGATTAAGCCCAAGAGTTTGACCTCCATGTTTGGCTCACAACAACAAAAATATAATTGGCCACTGGATGGATATGTGTCAACACTTCTCAACACTGCAGATTAATCATTGTCTGATGACCTGTAGGAATGTTTGTTGCCACTTCTGACAATTTGTTTGCTAAAACCAGGGCAGACAGAAGTGCTAGAAGCTCTTTTTGTTAGCAAAGAAGTTTTTCTCAATTTTGCTAACCAGCATTGGAAAGATAACCTTATCCACTGGATAAATCATTATCCCATGGATAGCACAATAGGTTATGTTAACACTCACCAGGTGGATAGTGATTTATCCTTCGGATAGCATTATCCATTCTTTGAACAACTGGGTCCAGGGGTTTTGTCCCACAAGACAATCATCAAGCCCTTAAGCATATCCTTGTAATTTTATTGCTTAATGGCATTGTGATGGAACAAGCAGGCAAAGTCAATGAGCTTGGCCTTCCAGCCCTTCAGTTATCAGACAAGGACAAAGACTGCATGACTTCTTTTTCAGAAGACAAATTACACGCAAACACATAGCAAAGGTTGTTTTGCAATGGTTCCATGGACTGACCTGCCCTTCAAAGGAGTTTTTTTCATAAGACTCATCTTTACTGAAACATTTCATGGATTTCCAGTTTATTGTGCAGCTCAAAATTTGAAATGGTTTAATTTTGTGAGATAACCCATGAATTGCGATGATATGAAGATTGAGTGCTAATTCAGATAAGGGATGTCTTTGATTATGTCTAATTGAGATTACATTTTGACACCTCACTATCATTAAGCCATGCATGGTCAAACTCTTGAGTTGAGTCTGTAGTTCCTACTTTATGAGCTCCCCACTCACTAAGCTCCCTTGGTGCATCAACATCACTCCAAGAGCTCCCTGCAGCTGGCTAACATCAATTTTTCTGCAATTATGTTTTTGACTAGGGCAATGGACAACCATTCCAACAAGAAAGAGTTGCACTCCTAAATGTCAATCCTAATTTTGAAGCCTAATTCCTTTCAATGACAAACCTCCTTTTTTAATAGCTGTAGTTTTAATACTTGCAACATCTGATCCAGCCCCAGGTTCACTCACTCCAAGACAGGCCACAACATCACCAGCAATGGATGGAACTAAAAACTCTTGTTTAAGCTCTTCACTACCAAACCTGATAAGTGCTGGAGTTGCCATGTCTGCCTGAACTCCTATGGCCATGGGTATAGCACCACATTTAATGCTTCCTGTTGAGAAAGTAAACCTCTACACTTCCATGTTTTTAGTGCTTGTTCTCCTTACTGTTTCCCATAATTAAAATAGTTGTAGTTGTTAACAAAATCAAGGTTTTGGAAACTTCAATTTAACATACACTCTCCCATTGGCTTGACATACATCACTTTTTTTTCTCACGTAAGCAAAGCACTGCATTTTTCAAAAAGTTTTATCAGTTTGTTCGATAACAGGGAACAGACTTCAGACAATTCGATAGAGACTACTTCAAGAATTTTAAGGAGTCAGTCTGCTTACTTCACTCTGATGACAGGTTTGGAATTGTTTAAATATTCATCACAGCACTAACATTAGAGGAATAGTACTCTGGGCAGGGCTCTCTGATTACAATAAAATATAGTTTCTCATAGTGATCTGTGGATTAGCAGGCTCCACACCATGTTAAATATCCCAGGCAAATCTTAAAGAGAGCACCAAGAACCAAAGGGAGCTCTAGAGGAATACTTTGGGCCCTTACTTTCTTTGCCAATGGGAGCTCTAGAGAAATACTTTAGGCCTTGCTTCCTTGCCCCCCCCCCCTCAAAAATGTCTAGCTACAGCCTTGAATTAAGTCAAGAGTTTTGTATAAATACATGAGGGTTGCTTCAAAACTATCTCTGTTTCAAACCACATGCATGTATAACTTCCCCTGTTGAATGTCCAGGCTCCGAGGCTGATGGGAAATAAAGAATCATTGGCTGGAGGATAATTATCAGATACACCACAACATTTTCATCAGCAACCAAAACTGAGATATGCTCACTTGCTGTTGAGAAGACACTAGATCAGAGACCAAACAGTGGAAAGGTAAAAAAAATTGCTGACCTAACTCTTCAGCCATGGCCACACTAAAAGAATAGTCCAATCCTAATCCACCATACTTAGTGGGCTTGTTTACTCCAAAGAATCCGGCCGATCCCAGCTTTTTAAAAACTTCATGAGCGGGAAACCTCTTCAAATTCTCCCATTCGTCAACGTAGGGGTTTATTTCTTTCTCGATTAATTTTTTGAGAGATTTTCGGAGTTCTGCATGATCCTCCGTAAAAATAGATTCGTGGCTTACTTCGTACGATTCTTTTCGTAAATTTGGCGCTGCTCTACAATACGTGCTTGTTGAAAACAATTTAAAAAGCGAACGAAATTGTGTGCATTTCGTCATCGAAACCCTCGCAGAAACAGCCATGTTGGTTTACTCATTCCGTTTAGCAATAAATGCTGCGGAGCCTTGGGAACGAGTCTGGAATATGACAGCAAAAGTCACGAGATTTATCAAGTAAGATTACTTACGCAAGGCAAAGAATTTCACATCAATGGTTTTCCAGGAGGGATGTCACTTCCTCGGTGAATATCTTTTGAGTAAACGCCTTAATCGATATTGTGATTTTTAATTAAAAAAGATGGAAAATGGATACATCACCGCTGGATTTGCTTGGAGGCCGGGATCTCAAATAGATGTGAAACGCGTAGAGCTTCTGATCTGCAGAGCGGAGGACATATATCAGGACCACTTTGATAACGACGATGTTACCGTGGAAAACTTAAAATATTCAACTTATAACCTGGAGCAGTGGAATTCAGAGGGCGGGAGCTTTTGTGTCTGTCCAGCTCTTAAACCTGGCGTGTATCATTTCGTTTTTCGCATAGACAATGGGGAACAGAGAGAATTGACAATTTCTGATTATTACGACAGAACTTTTCTTGGTAATGGTCGTGCTGTTAATTACATCGAAGTTTTGGCTAATAATAAGAAAAATTTAACACGTGGTAAGTATGGATTAAATACATCATATACCAGCAAGGGCCTTGTTCTAGCTTTAAAGTTTATAGTATGAAGTATGTGCACGGTCTGTTGATCAACCTTGGGTATCACTAGGTGTCAAATATTCAGCTGTATCAATTTACTTCCTCAGTCACTGGAGACCGGACAGCCCTTGAGCAGTATACTATAATTAATTGTTTACAAATATTACTCTTAGAAGTGTCTTGCAAATCATCTTCTGGTTGGATGGGTCAGCTTCAACCGAGACAAGTCGCCCACATTGAGTCGAATCAATTCAAATCAACAACATTTTGAACCCTTACGGAATATATGTTTTGGTTCAATTTTGTCCTTGGTTCAAATTTTATTTTCTTTTGTTTTCGGGTATTGTAATGTATGATAATGAACCACAACATATATTCCAAGGGTGATAGGTCAAGTTGCCCAAGAGTCATCTTGCCTGAAACTTGAGTCAGGTTGCCTGAAATTTTAGTCATGTCACCTGAAAAAAAGAGTCAAGTCACCCAAAGACACAAATACTAAAAACATCAGAATTTCAGAGTATGTTTGAGTAACGATTCTATTGGTATGTACTCATTTCTTACTCACCGACATTTTGTAGGCTCGAGAAACTCTTTCTTGGTTCTTAACAAATATGTTTGAGCAATGATTCTAAAAGCATTGTTCATCTCTAACAAGAAAGGGAAGCATATTGTTCATGTCTAACAACAAAACAAAGCATTGACCCTTTACCAACTTTTCAAACAGGACAATCAACATTTGTTTACCAGGTTTTTTCATCTGTTATTGCTAAGAAAGTCACAAATAGACACAACAGAACTTTACTTTTATGTTACACTGCATCCATACATTTATTGTTGTAGAAATGAACAACACTTCCCTTCATAGTATTGTTAGAAACCAAGATAAAGTTTCTCAAGCTTACGAAATGTCTGTGAGTAAGAAAGATTATATACCAAATGAACAACGCTTCATTTTGTTGTTAGAAATGAACAAAGTTTCCCTTTGTTGAAGGGAATGAACAACGCTCTTAGAATCTTCCTGGTGTTGTCGGAAACAGAGAGTGCTTTAGTGATAAAAATTTCTCAACTTTATTGCCTATTCACAGTCTGAAATTCTAATGTTTTTAGTACTTGTTTCTTCGGGGGACTTGACTCTTTTTTTTAGGCGATATAACTAAAATTTCGGGCAACATGACTTGGGTTTCGGGCGACATGACTTCAGGTGAGAGGACTCTTAGGTGACTTGTCTGTAAACCATTCCAAGTATCCTGCAAATCTACGTATTTGATGACTCTGCCTCAACTAGGATAAGCCGTTCAATTCAAAGCAAATTGTCAACACTTTCAAACCAGTCTTGTAGCAGGTAGAGAATTATTTTTTAGGTGTCTTGAAAATCGACCTCTTGTATGAAATTTCCACCTTAAGAAGGATACTTTATTCAGATTTCCAGTATTAGGAGAGGACTTCACCACAAATTGACTAGCTGTAGGTCAATTCATAAACTGCCCTAGGAAAAGAATTTTCCCATGCCAAGTATGTTTATAGTAAGGTCCATTTCTTATTGTGAATAGCAATATTACCTGTGTTGAATAAGTTTTCTTAAGAAGGTGCATTTTGGAAGCGCACCAACCAAGTGTAAGGCTTGGAACCAAAAATGCAGGGTCTGGGAGTTGTAAGACAGACCCAAATAATATTTCCCTCAGAAACATTTATATTTTTATTCCATCCTATTTACCTTTATGACAACCTAATGTTTATATTGTTGAAATGTTAAATTCTTAGAAATTGTAGTACTGAATTGAATAAAAATCTTTTGTTTTCTATTGTATGAAGATGGGCAAATACTCTTAAGTAGTGTTCAGTTCACTCAATCACAAGTTTGTTCAAATTTGCACATCCTTTCAATAATTTTTCTAGCAAAGTCTGCTTGTTGTTAAATGCTTCCCACAAGTTTGATAGATGTGTTTAGTATTGCTTAGCTGGGTTACTAGAACCAGGTTATGGTGATTTTGAACAGTGAGTAGTTTTTATCTAACCCTATGACTAGTAGGAGGGTTTGATCTATTAAGCTTTCCCAAAGGTGATTTAAGTGAGTGATAAACAATGAGTGGTAAGATATTTGCAACTGAGTTAAAACTTTGATAATTTCCAGTAGTAGCAGACTTATGGTTTTGATGTATCATTTTGACAGCACATGGGAACTCAGTCAATGTGAATTCAGTCAGTGATGAGAAACACCAGTCCACTAAGATGAGTAACAGCAAAGACTCACACTGCGAGCAAGACCAAAGCAACAGATCATGTGTTTTGTTTTGACAAACATTTATAGATCATGAAAAACAATTAATTTATACAGTACTAACAGGATGGGTGGTCAACTCTATTATCCTATCAAGCAACACTGCAAGTAGTAGTACTTTTACCTCTTTTACAAAATAGGTGACAGGTAAGTGCAAAAATGATATTTTTAAAACCGTTTAATTATATTTTCTGTGTCAGAAAAAAATGGAATTACATAGTAGTAACTTGTCAAGATGAACACAATGAATTACATGAAAAAAAAGCTTTTGTAGCTCAATCAACAAACATTTTTACCTGTCCAACCAATGGTTGTTTGAATCATATATAAATATGTAAGTAATAAAGTAACTCCATGTTACGAATTGATGTCAATACAACTTGGCAGGATTGTCATACTTTGTTAGTAATCAATTCTGCAATGGTCAATTTACTTAACCTTTTTAACCTGTATTGCAATATGCACTGCATTTTGGTAAAGAAAACATTAAATTATAGTGTTGCAATCAATGTGTTGGCAGTTTTCTATTATTCGTATTACTGTAATTCCAGTGTAATTTAATATTATTTGTTAGTACTGTGAGCCAAATCCTTTTGTCTTTTATAACAATTATTAAAGGAATAAATGGTTTGAGGCTTATTTTCCATCATACCACATGACTTTTTCTATTCAAATTTTACACTCTCTCTTGGTGTCAAGTTCCTTTCAAAAAGTTTTTAAGGTGAGCAATAAAATTTTTCTGCAAATGACAGTTAAAAAAGTTTATTTTTAAGCCTCAACTTCATGCACTAGAGCCAGTTTTCCTGCCTTCTATCCAAATATATTGATTATGGGCTGTTAACAAAAGATTCAACAGTCATTTATTTGCTACACAACTCCAGAATATTTTAGGAATACGTTTTTATTTTTTCTTAACATTTTAGTACCCCTGTACTTATTTTGTAAAATAAAAATACATGTTAAGTAAAAATACATGTTACAATGTTACAGTAATTACTATTTTTTGTTAGGTGTAAGGTTCCTGAATCCAATTTCTTGAAATTCAAGGTAACTTAGCAGGCCTGAAGCCATATATTAGAATCAAATTTAAAGAATCAAGGAGCAGGTTCTGGCATCCAAATCAATCCATTTTGTTACTTAAGCTGAAAGTTTTATGTTATATTTCCAAACAATTTTAAACCCCTGTCTTGAATGAAAACAGAACAGCTTTACAGGCCTTTAAGTTTCCAGGACCTTCAAGAAATGGGCCTTGGCTTAGATAATCTGATTAAAGAATTTAAAAGTAAATGAAGTGTGGTGTGTGGTTTGGTTTGAACTCAAATCTAACAATTAACTCTGTTGTCTATCTAGTTAGAAACTTGTGTTGATCAAGAGGAAGTGGTGACTATTGAAGAATGACTCATATCAAGGCCAATGAAAATCTCTACCAACAACCTTATACAGAGCATGATTGTATGGCCTGTAGAATTGTTGAAATAATTTTACAGTCGTTTCTAAAAATGACATGTCTTTTTCCTTTTGATCCCTCTAAAGACTCTAAACAGTCTCCCCACTTTTTGCCATCTGATCGAATTTTTTCCTTACAGCAAGGGAATCCTTTAGATCCGTTGAAATAGAAGTTCTTTTCAGTGATAAATGGCCCTAGATATAACAACTTCTTAACAGGTTTTATCTCATCAGCTGTATTTTGGAAAAGACCTTCTCCACTGACAAAGTGAATCCATGAAAATGGAAAATACATTAACCATTGATGTAAGTGGTTGATATAAACCTCATTTTTCACTAAACCTCTTTCAGCGGCCAAAACAGTTACCTCCTTTGTGACAAATTCCTCGAATTTTGGAAGGAAAGAGTTGTTTTTGTTCAATAAAAGTTGTGTATAATCTGAGATAGCTCTTACCATGGGATCTCGCACAATCACTTAGAGCTTAACATCTCTTGACCACTTGTACACACTCCTAAGAACAGTCTGAGGTGAAGTAGCCAGGAGATTTTCAGGTAACTGATCTTCCCTTGACTCGGGCATGTGACTCCTGTACCACTCAAGGCCTTGTTTGTAGTTTTCATTACGGTTGAAAAAGTGTACCTCCCACGGGCATGCTCTGATATCAGGATTTATTAATTTTTTTTTAGAGGGCACGGTAACGAATCCTGCAATGTGATCGGTTCTTTACCCGATCAGTTTTTTCCAATCCCTGCCCACGGATAACGGTAACGCTTTCGTGAGTCGCAGAGTGCATACCTTCTTTCGTTGCCAATTTTCATGAGTATATCTCGTTTTTCCGTCTGGGCAGTATTTTTAAGCAAAGATATAGGTCACTACCTCAAGCCGGTAACTAACTTATTAATCCTCTTTTTCTCTCTCAAATCACTTTGGTCGACAGAAAAATATCGGTGTCAGAATGAATTTGTATAAGCAATAGTGTCAATACGTTGGTTGACAAGCGGCCTAAAAACCGTCTGCAATTAATTTTAATCGTTCACAAAAAGTAACTAGAAAGTTCAAACGTGGGGTAATTTTTAGGAGGAAAGACCAGATTTACACACGCCATTGCAGCAAACAAACGAGCAAACTCTCCCAACTTTAAGATAAAAAAATTTGAATTTACTTTCAATTACTTTCCTCGCTGTTTACTTAATGAACAGAGGTAAATCTTCGTACATGAATTAATCATCGATGAGAGTGAATAATACTTTCCGTAAGATCATCGACTGTTTTTGAGGAAAACATTGTCGTGACAGTGCTTGCCAAACTGGTTTCATTGTGTTTCAAAAGTTTACATGCGCTTTTTCTTTTGTTACGCGCTCTCTAATTGACAGGTGTCAGATTATGACAGATACTTGTAAGAATAATGTTTCAAAGTTTGTTTGAAAATAAAAAATGTTTCGGTGAAGCATCTCTCTTTAATTTGCATCACCTCTATTTTAACTACCATTTACTCGCTCAAAAATTGTTCAGTTTATGGAAGGTCACAGTTTTTCACCATACGAACCTCCCAGCCGGCAAATAACATATATCTATTGCATATAGCTATGAACCTTTTCTTCTCTAACATGAAAGGTATATGAATAAGTAGATTGGAAAGACGTTAATGACGAGCACAGGATTTCCCTGATCTATTGACTAACACAAGATTTGTATTTCAATTGTGGGTGTTCCACTGCACCTGTTGAATTTTTCTTACCGCTGTAGGCACGTTTAGTTTCATCGCCTATCATGTACTAAGACTGAGCTATGCAATCAACCACAAGCTTCCCTCGGCAATGCAGTCGAATTCTAATGATTACTTACTGACTGTTACTGGTTTGTTTTATTAGCGAGTAAAATTTTCCCACAAATATCGCTTTTCGAATTTTGAGTTCACATTACATACAAGTTTGCCCATCATATCAGATCATACTGGTACTGAGTGTCCAACATGTGCCATGAAATGCTGAAAATCAAAAGAGTTGAGAATTCACTCGATAGTAAAAGTCTTCTCGTTAACTTTTAAAATATTTTTGCTTGTTGTGAAATGACCCTTGGAATTTTTTTGAAATGTCTTACATTTACTAGCGAAAAATACTACTGTGGGACTTCAGGAGAGGTCAGAACTCAGGGATTTAAGAACAAAATTAGTGCTGACCTCAATTTAAATGGATATAATTTTCTAAATGTCGGTAAAGTCAGAGTCAGTCGTATGCTGTGCCATGATGATTACTTTTAATTTAGAGAGAGCATCGCAAGCAGAATTTAATTTTCATGGAAAATGTCGTAAATAACGTATCATGTAGCGGCCGACACAAGTGAAGGAAATTTCAACGACAACTATGAGTTTCGCCAGTGAAGACGCACTATGAGGCGAGGATATATTGTACGGAAAAGACTTGAATCGTTTTATTAGCGTAGTCGAGGTATCCAAGTACTTATCGTAAATTGAAATATGAAATTATAAGGAAGAAGCTAAGCTAAATTCTAAGATACGGAGCAACATTCCAATCATTCCGATATGAAAGCAAGATCCCAAAAGACTAGCTAAAACTCTTAAAACAAGCTCACAAAATACTATCTTCAAGGATAAAGGAGAACTGCGTGAAAACGAATTCTAACAAAACTAATAACCGAGTGGGAAAAACGAGCAGCTTACTAACAAAGCATGAACAACGTAAACCACGTGTTACAAGGTTGCAAAGAAACTGGTATAAAAAACTGGGCGAAACTACCGAAAGACTAGATGTTTAAACAAGTACGAAGAGAGGGAACATAAGCACTTACATAACAGTCCCGCTTGTAAAAGTTTGACCAAAACAAACTTCGAGATAAGGTGGGCAAAAGGGCGCTTTTCGATAAACACGTCTTATCGTTAGCCCAACGCAAGATAACTAACTAAAAAGCGGTTCTGGGTGGAACTTAAAGATCACGTCCCTGATGGACAAACAGTAACGTCACTATTGCAGTTTAACACGTTTAACACGAAACAAACTTATAACAAATCAATGTCCGGTAGCAAAGGCGTGGCAGCCGTTACATATCACAAGTGCATAAATAATTAGTTTGTTTAACTTATCTGCCGTAATTAGTGAGTGAGTGGGCGATTGCGAATACGCTTATTTTTTTGTAGCGATAAAGCGAATTTAGATAGAGTATAGAAAGTAGAATTCCAGTGTATGTAAAGTGGTGTAAATACTAATGTATTATAATGATTTGCGTGCCGTAAGAAGTGAGTGGGTTGGCAATTTCTAATATAATTTTTTTATAGGTTGAGAGCTTAACAATCATGATTCCATTGTATGTAAAGAGGTTTAAGTAATGTGTGAGAGCCATTTAGTAAGTAATGTAATCAGTTGATATAAATTACAAGTTAGAACTTACTCTTTGAAACTAAGAGGACACCTTAACCATACACTCAAGAGAAGCTCACTACTACGATAGTACTGTGTATGTTGGTCTATGCTGTAAGAATTTGTTTTTCTCAGTTTCCGTAATGTACCTAATGCATTCTATTCGGTAACTAGGTAATTTAATACTAATCCCCTAATCCCCTTTATTCTGTAACTACCTTTGCCACTTAAATCATTGTACTGTGCTGGCGGATATTAATAAACAATGTCGCAGAGTTATGTTAGTCGTAGTATTCTTACACATGCATTATCTCGCTTCCCGAGATAAAGACTCTAGCGGACTCTTAACCCAATCCCTAAACAAGAAAGAGTATTTAGAATATTTGACCAACAATCGGTTCGACGACTATGGCGCGAATCGAAATTAAAAGAGGAGAAACGCGATAGAGGAACAGAAGGATTTGAGGTCTCTTTGACCAAAGACCAGAACTTTCCCTTTTTCCTCACTCCTTCACTTCTTAACGATTGAATTGACTCATTACCTGGAAATTAATATTATGCAAATTCACATTTTAAGATAACTCTCAACTGCTACTAATTTTTTAAATAGTAAGGAACAGATGACAAGCTAGACCAGTTAGCCTTTCAGAGGTTATTCTCGATGATACCTTAAAGTTAATGTTAAAAACAAATACATAAACAAACTCATGAGTCCATAATGTAGACCAGGAATACAACACTTACTTCAGACTGGTTACAAAACGCAGACCAGCTGAAAACAAAAACAGTTCTCTTATCTAGATATACCTTAATTTAAATAGGTTTTAAAGGTTCTTATTGTATTATCAAAAGTACCCCAGCCTTTGCCCACTACAGTGACATTTGATAAGAGCATCTTTACGGAAATAGATGCAGCAAAAAGTTTAAACCGAGTTTGGCTTTGCGTTTTGTGGTTCCCTGGGCTCAAAATATCTCTGTATTCATCACCTCTTTTATCCTGGCCTTAACGGATAAACAGCGGGAGCAGTTATCACGAGACGGCTGCGTAACCCTCGCCACGCTTTGCCTGACCCCCGCATTTTCGCTCGTTTCATTAACCGAAATTGGCGCAGACTACTTTGTCAATTTAGATTACCTGTGTTGTGCAATGTGCATGGCCACGCCTCCACGTAGAAATTCAATATTTTTCCCCTCGTTTGTTTCCGTTTACAGATTTCTATTCACTTTTCAATTACCTTTCGCGTATTTGGCATGACAGCGCTTGTCTCTTACGTTCTCCTTTGTAATAAAATGTAAACAAAAATTTCAGTTTGCTGATCGGCTGGGAACATGTCAATTAATCTCAAGCATGCAGAAAGATAGGATTAAGAATAAAAAGTTTTAATTGAGGGCAGAAAATGGAAATTAAATTGATTGACTGATAAGCCGCGAAAGCACAACAAGACAAGATGGCGGAGAAATCGGAAGAAAGTTCAGAGTCTGAAAGACAGTGCTAAGAATGAAAACAACCAACAAAGCACAAACAACTGGCTAAACATGTGGAAGTTCTGTGCTTCCAAAAACGGCTGAAATGAAAGTATTGAAGGCCCCGACAACTGACTCGCGAGATGTTAATGTGACAGTTGGTAAGAAAGACGGGGGAAGATTGCGAGCGAGATGGCCTTGGTGTACTGGTTACTGCTATTAAGCGTTACCTACCTGAGAAAGGAAGCAAACGCTCGATTTTTCGTGGCAGAAGGAAGCTCGAAGGAAATCCTTACGGGCAGACCCCGATTGCCCCTGCGCCAACGCAAAGGCAGGCGGCCGAACCAGTTAGCCATAACACGAAATAAACGTGACTAAAAGGAAAACAGAGAAAAAAACTTTGCATGTATTTTTAGTAACAAGTAATCACAAGAGTACATCTCGTACAAGAACCCATTTTACAGTTGTGTTCTTAGTTGCCAAGCCTTTGATTTGGAGTGAGGCTGAAGGTGACCTTGTTGTGATAGAGACCAGTTTTAGTACAAACCATTTAATTTCAACTTTATACACTAAATTTCAACTTTTTGCATTGTTTGGTATAAATTGACGTGTTCTCAACCAATGAACATGCAGAAATTTGTGCATGCTTATTATCTACATTTCGCCGTATTTTAGAGAGCCTTTCAACTTTGTATTATTAACAAAATACAGGATATAAGCTTTCCTATGATGTAAGTTTCATCAGATTCGGTTTCATATTGCGGCCATAAGAGCGCTGGTTGGACTCGCTCAAAGGTTACTTCGGTAAGGACTCAAAAGGACGCCAAGACCCTTTTTGTAAACTTTCACCGTTTATTCGCGCCTAATTTCGCAATACACTACATTTTAGCTTGTAAGTTTCATTCAATTTCATAAACGTCGGCAAAGATCACTCGGCGAAAAATGTACTCTGGTTTCGCCGCACGCAAACTGATCAAAATTTTCCTGATATCAACATGTTTTATTCCATTTCATGTATCACTGAACCTCACCCCTCACCATTCTTCTTAATTACTTTTAATGGCTAACGTTCCGTGATTGGGAAACTACACATAGCGTCTGAAGTCAATGATCCCCGTGGTGGTGGCGTGTTGACCGGATACCAATTAAATTGATTGACAGGAGGGTGGCGAGAGCACATCAAGACAAAATTACAGACGGGTTAGGAGAAAGTAACGTTTTAATTCAGAAAAAAATACACCCAACATAGCGAATAACTGGCTAAAAGTCGGCCTCCAAATACATGGCAAAAGTATTGAAACGTAGAAACCGGATGCCCTGAACAAAATCCTCTGGGAGTTCTTACGAAACACGGGATAACCTTCGTGTACTGGTTACTGCTATTGAGAGAATTCTAACTAAGAGAGAATGCAAAAAAACGATTATTTCCGACAGAAAGTTTAGCTCAAAACAAATTCTTACAATAAAACCCCGACGACGGCGGCAACAACAAGAAGGCATGCGGCCTCACCAGTGAACCATAAACACGGATAAGTGGAAAAGAGAGTCAAATTTTTGCATATATATAATTAACGAGTAATCACATGGATTTTTCTCGTGGAATTTGGGATAAATCAGCACTTGTAAAATCGCAAGCTTTTGACAAATTTAAGTGATTTTGCGCGGAATTCAAGTCGAGAGATTGAAAGTGATCGTCTTGCGCATGCCCTACGATTGACCGCTGTGCTCGCTGTGCTTATGTTAACTACAGATTCCCAGGTTTACTGAAGTCAGTTGCAAACATTGCAGCAAGCTTGGGATGTGTGTGTCGTAATTTCCTGCACCAGCCGAGCAAAGCGTCGAAAGTTAAACCCGGAGAGTTCTACGTCAAGGGAAACTCTGGTAAGTTTTATATTTCTGAGACTTCGGAGCTGATTCACCCGGGCAATTTTGGGTCCATGTTGTTTTCTCCTTCCATTGTGTCTAAATTTGGCAAAGGAACAGTCTTGAAATAAAAACTAGTCAAGTTTCAGATTTTTTTGTTAAGTTCAGTCCATGCAGGAGTTGGTTGGTTTGTCAATGGCAGTAGAAGCATATAAGATTACCGAGACTGACTCAGCAAAAATTATCAATTATCGAAGTATGAATGCGCGCGGGAAGCTTGGAGAGTACGGGAGAAACACATGAGCTTCTCGAGGCGTGGCTGTCGATCTCCAATTAGGCCTAGCGAAGACCGTGATCAAACTCCTTGAAAACACGGCAGGATTTTTGGTTTTGGCCCACCGTTGGATCGGATTTTCACTGAAAATCCTTGGTTTTTCATTTACGATGTCTATCGCAGTTAGTGGTTTTTCCTCTTGATAATTTGGTACTTTGTTTTCGGATAAATATACAAGCGGTTTCTCACATTTGGTTTGCCTCGTAGTTTTCTGCTTTTCCTATTTGGTTTCGGGTTCCCTTGATCAAGTGTGCGGTACAACTGCGGGAACGAGCAGTCAGACTTCTCAAATAATCTCCTGAAGCAGGTAAAATGTGTGACAAAATATAGGCAGTCCATGACTGCATGTGGTCACTGCTTTGGTCAGATTGGTACTGCAGAACGCAATACATATACCTGAGGGTCTTTTTTCTTAAATAATAGAATGAAGTTATAAACAGATATACAACAGTAGAAACATGCCATTTAAGTCAGTTTTTTCGGGGGAATAGAAATGAAAATACAGGGATGAAAACAAGAATCTATAAGAATATAACAGTATAACTTTATCTTTTCACTAGAACCTAAGAAAAATACTTATTAAACCAGAACCTTAAAATTGTCTGCAGACTTGATGATAGTTTTAAAGTTTTTGTTTTGAGCTAGTATACCATACCAGTTTCTTACATGTATGGTGCAAACAATATATCTGTCACACATTAATTACTGAATAGTAGAAAATAGTGTTACTTAGATAATAGAAAACAATTAGAGTAATATTACTTTATTTTGTATCATGTATAGTTCATTGATATATTATTTGTACCCCACCTTCAAATGAATAAATATAAGAAAATATTTGTCTTGGTTGATAGGAGACATTTAAGGGAAATATAAAATTCTTTTTTTTGGACAGCTTATGATCTACTTGATTAATCAATTTACACTCTAATTTGGATTTAACCATTGATGTCAAGAAAGTATTCTTGCAGTTATTACAAGTTATTATTGGATTATAAGTTGGTGTTGGTATATTTGCATCACAGAGAAGGCAACAATCTTTTCAAGTGACATCTTTACCTATAATTTTTTATGATAACAGTGCATTCAAGAAGATTTGAAGTAGATGGCTAACATTGAAAAGCACCTGTGGGAGATTAAAATAGAAAACAATTTCCCTCTTGTTAGCCCATTAGTTCTATTCAGAACAAACTGGCTTCAAATGAAGTTTTCTTTGGTAAATAATCATTAAATATTATTTTTCTCAATTTGTAACAATTGTTGATGATGATGATAATGATGACTTTATTTATGTGTCATGAAAAAATAGTGGTCAATAATCACTAAGTAAGGACACCTAAAATTAGTATTAAATATATAAAACAGGAATGTAATATGAATCTTGAAGGTTTATCTAAACTGTAGCTACTTGTATGTGTTACCATATCTGTTTACAAAATGAACAGTAACAATCACTTCTAATTATATCTTCGAGGTTAAGCTTTCTTACAGATCTCTTAAAAGATGACAATGATGGTGAATTCCTAAGGTCTTCAGGGAGCCTTGCCCACAACACCAGTCCAATGTATCTTACAGAGTTCTTGCCATAATTAATGTTGTTGAAGTGCTGGATTTCAAATTCTTTAATTCTGAGATTGTATTTGGATTGACTTTTGACAAATAGATCAGAAATATTTGTGGGGCAAATGTCAGACTTCACTTTGTACATTATTATGGTTATGTCTAGCAGTCTTCTATTTCTAAGGGTTGGTAGATTCGCCCATTTTAACAACTCTTTGTATGATGTGTACCAATCATGATAGATGGCTCTTAAAGTGTGTTCTTGATTGTGCTTAAGTTTACAGGTGTCAGTACATTTACAGAAATGCCAAATAGTGCTGCAGTATGTCATGTGTGGTAGTGGATCGTTTTATTTTTGATTTAAATCTTCCATTTTCTGACATGCAAACCTGGTCCCTGAAAGGACATATGGTCATTGGTTACCAGAATTTGAGTCCATATGTTCTTGATTCTTTTTTTTTCTGGAAATGTTGTGTATGAGACAATATCAGTAATTTTTGCCAAACCAAAGATCTTGAGATGTTTTAGGTCTCAATTCAAGAGTTTTCTTAAAAGCTTCCTTTTTCATATCAGATGGTACAATTGTTGAGCCTCTGATTGCTTCACAAAAAGTAAGGAAGTCACTTACATTTATATTTACATATATCATCTTGCAACATCTATAACAGACATATTTGCAAGCTCCTAACTAATAACTAAAGCACTACAACTAGGAAGTATAAAATAGGAAAAAAAAAATATGTAAATAAATTAATTAATTGAAAAAGGTAAACATCACACTGAAAAAATGTAGTCAGAGATGGTGGCTTTAAATTTTGCAACTGAATCCAATTTTGAATAATCAGGTGGCAGGCTATTCCAGTCAGTGATAGTTCTTGGCCAAAAGCTGTATTTGTACGTGTCACAGGATGGCTGAAGTGGGATAAATTCAGTGGATGAGATGATCTGGTTTTTAGGGAAGACTGATGTACATAGCTGGGGATATTTATAGCGGTCTGGTTGGTAACACATTTGTACATCAGTGTAGCTACTTGTCTTCTTTTTTCAAGAGTTGGCCAATTAATTTGCCTTAGAGCATTGGTTACGCATCCCTCCTCCCTCGTGTAAGTTCTTGTTACAAAGTGTACTGCCCTGCACTGGACCTGTTCAAGCCATAATTTCTGATATGCTCTATACAGATCCCACACAGTATAACCATCTTTCAACGTTGGTCTCACTAACAATTTGTAGGCCTGATCTTTAACCCTCTGTGGGCAATGATGCAAGTTCCTCTTGACAAAGCCAAGTGTCAAATTGGCTTTGTTTGTAATGTTTAGGATAAGTGGCTTCCAGTTTAGGTCCCCTGAAAGAGAAACTCTGAGGTAAGGGTAGTGGTCTACAGCCTGTAGGGTATGGCCAAGCATAGTGTATGGGTGTATAAAAGGACACTTAGTTCTGCAAACATGTAGAAGGTAACACTTTGATGGATTGAAGGCCATGCCACATCTCTTACTTACTCTGTTTCTGGCTAAACAGTAACCATAAGAACTTGGTTGTCTTGGCTTTCCACAATAAATACTGATTTTCTATTGAATAAAAGGTTAGACACTAAGTGTACAATGACTGAAATGGTTATTTTTGTTCCTCTCTTTGTAGTTTAACCTCGGGTAAGTGTTTTTAATGCAAACTTTTAAAGCAACTTTGTGAAAAAGTTCCAAATTTAATTTAAGTGAGTTATTGACTAGTAAGCTATTTTGACAACATAGATTTTCAACTTTGTTTTCCAACCAGTAGTTGAGAGGAACTATTGTTGTTTTGTTTGTCCAAAAATATTTGACAATTTTAGTTCAGCACAGTTGCTTGAAAATCACTTTAGTAACCAAGGACTTGTACTTCTCCTTTGCACTTGATGAATTTATGTAGAACACATGAAACAAGCAGGAAAAGAAAACTTCTAATGAAAGAATGAATCTAACAATCAAAGACCATTGAATTTGGAAAATAAATAAGGTGAATACTTTAATAGTAAGTTGACTTTTACTTTGTCATGAAAATATGCCTTGAGCATGGCAAAGTATACCTTACAGTAGTTAAATGTAGTTGCCTCAGATATTTTTTCCAAGTTTATTAAACAACATTAAATAAATTAACTTGAATTGCATAAATTGCTAGGCTCAGATTGGGCAGTGGGGCTTATCACATTTTATCCATTTATTTATCCACTCATTTGTTGTTGTTGTTGTTTTCAAGGGGCAAGGGGTACAAAAGGGCTATAGAAAACGGAATCTAGATTAATTTCTCATGCTCTGATGAAAGTTTACAAAAATTACTAAGAGTGTAAAATTTTGTTCAAAAGATCTTACTAAGTGTATTTTCCATGTCCAGAACTGTAGAGGCAGTTTCATGTGGTTTTGATCAGATGAGGTGCGTCAGAAAAGAAATATATGTACCGGTTTGGTGCATATAAGTTTTTGGTGTGGTAACATACTTCACCATCAATGTTGTCATCAAGGGCTTTGTGCATCCTATAAAATCTCCTGTTGGGTGATGCTCCATCAGGAGTACTAGCAATCACCCAAAGGTTGCATGCAATCTCTAATAGAAATATTGCCTCCCAGAAAAGAGGCATAAGCTGGTGTGAGGTGACCCCATTTGCAGCAAAGTAAGCCAAACTAAACTTGAGTTCAGTGCAGATGCCTCTGATAAAGAACATCGAAGCATGGCTGGCAATTTCACCAAGTTGTTAGAGTGTTCCAAAGTTGAGCTCTGGGTCCCTCAAATCAAGGTAGCCAATCAGTTCTCCAGTTACTTTGTCAAACACAAGGTTTGACATAATCTTCATTTCATTGAACAAAAGTACTATATACCTTTGGACATCAAAGTAGCTATTTGTCAGCTCATTCAACTCTTCTAAAACTTCTTCTTGGAATCTTGCCTTTGGGCAAATACAGTTCCTATAGTCTTTGAGAGTTCTCTGACTTAAAGGCACAAGGATCCCACTCCTGCGCAGTTCCTCATAACATGCTGGTGATTTTGTAGCAAGTGATAAACAGTAACGTATAATCATTGGATGGTACCTTACACCATTAGAGCTACAAGTTAACAGCTTTTTCTGTTGCTGCAAAGACAGCTCCATAAATGGTGTAATTTTTTTTTTAGAACTACCAAGAATACTTGTAGTGTCCTCGCTCAACTGATGGTCTACCTAAACACTTGATTTCTGTATTTCAAGCTTCATTTCCTCAAGTTTTTGCTTGAGTTCAGCACATTTGAGCCTCTGCATCTGCATCTGCAATGGGAGTTTGATTCGTTGCAGTGCTGTCTGCGATACTGGTGAAAATAAATGTGCGGGCTCGTTCAGTTTCTGTTTAGCCTTGTGAATGAGTTCAGATCTATGTGAATACTGGTAACAACTTGAACACTATTCACCATGTTCAAACAAAACTGTACAACTACAAGTTCTCCAATATTCTTTATGTGGAAATGAATTGACATCACCATCACTGTCAATGAACAATGGATCAATAGATAATAAATGATGGACTATATTGCTGGATAATTCAAATGGGTCCACCCCAGGACAGATATATAGGCTGTTGATATTTCTTAAAAGTTCAGACACTGTAATTGTAATAAACCAAGGACACGAATATTGTAGATCTACATGCTTTTTAATGAGGTCGAAGAAAAGAACTGAAATCATACATTGCACAACAGGAATATCCGATTACTGATCACATGATTCTGCACGTGACTAGATTATAACATTCCTCCCCCTCAAGACTTTTGCTAAACTTAAACAAAAAAAGTACACACAAAAAGTAAACAATGCTGAACTGAAGCGTAATAAAACCAATCATTAATGTTTTTCACGCAATGTACGTCACGCAACAATTCTCGTCGATTGCCAATCAATGTTCGTGAGTAATGTCACATAATTTTTTTTTTTTTTTTCTAAAGTTCATAGTCCTTGAAACGTTCTGGTAAACGACAGTTGCGGACTGGGCGTGATAGTTTAGCCTCTTGTGTGTCAGGCGAACTCACGACCGGTTCGGCTGGACCACTCGGTTGCGTTGTCTGTTGTGCAATCAGGGAGCACTCCTGGTACTAAGATCTCAGGATTTAATATTGTTGGGTCTTGGTTGTGGTTCTTCCGCGCATGGTCCTGATGTCGTCGAACAACTCAACCATCCGGTAATTCAACTAGGGCTGAGACTGGGCCTGTTGTCTGCACCACAGTTCCTTTCTGCCAGGACTTGGGGGAACTGAAGTCTTTTATGAACACAGGATCACTGGCTTCAAAATCTCTGTGTTTGGCATGGTGGTCGTGGGTCTGTTTTTGACGTTCTTGCTTCTGTCTCACCAGACTTGCAGTGTTGAGAACTATAAGATCGAGCTTAGTTTCAGCTTTCTTTTCATCAGTAGCTCTGCTGGGGGAACCCCTGTGGTCATGTGTGGCGTTGTTCTGTATTTAAGCAGAAAACGTGACAACTTGTCTTGCATGGTTCCCTCTTCCATTTTCTCTACCCCTTCTTTGAAGGCTCTAACTGCCCGCTCTGCCTGGCCATTCGAAGCTGGATGGTATGGCGAGACTTTGGTGTGTTTGACGCCGTTTTTTGAGAGGAAATTCTCAAATTCTGCACTTGTGAAGTGGGACCATTGTCACTGACTATGGTCTCTGGAAGGCCATGGGTCGCAAAGATTTCCTTTAACTTCACTATTGTGGCAGCTGATGTTGTACTTCGCATTATGTGGACCTCCATCCATTTGGAATGAGCATCAATCACCACTAAATACATGTGACCTTTGTAAGGCCCTGCATAATCAATATGCACTCTTGACCAAGGTTGACCAGGCCACTCCCATGGGTGGAGAGGTGCTTCTGCTGGGGCCTTCTGGTGTAGTTGGCACTGCTGACACTTCTTCACTGCATCTTCTAATTCACGATCCATGTTTGGCCACCACACATAACCACGTGCAAGGGCTTTCATTCTTGATATGCCTGGATGGGCTTTGTGAAGCTCGGCTATGACTTGTGCTCGTCCTTGAGGTGGTACTATCACCCTGTTTCCCCATAGAACGCATCCACCTTCTATGGTTAATTCTGCTTTCCGGCTCAAATATGGGTGTAGCTGCACATCCTGGCAGTGGTGTGGCCATCCATTCAGTCTAAACTGGTGCACTTTTGAGAGAACAGGACCGTGCCTTGTCCATTCTCGGATATGTTGTGAGTTGATCGGGGTGTGGTCCAGATGTTCTAAGAGCAAAATTGTCTCTCCCAGTACAGGAACAGACTCTGGCATTTTGGACAAGGGAAGTCGACTTAATGCATCCGCATTGGCATTTGTGGTCCCAGCTTTATAGGCAATCTTGTACTCGTATGCTGCCAAGGTAAGGGCCCACCGCTGCACTCTTGAAGAGGTTTGTTGGGGTACTCCTTTCTTCTTGTAAAAGAGCCCCTCCAGCGGCTTGCGATCAGTCTGTATGGTGAACTTCTGACCGTACAAGAACTGATTAAACTTCTTCACACCGAAGATAATTGCCAAAGCCTCTTTTTCAATAGTGGAATAACCATGCTCAGCTTTGTTCAACGATCTTGAGATTTAACCAATTGGGCGCTCCGCTCCATCCGCCATCCGGTGGGAGAGTACTGCCCCTACTCCATAATTGGAGGCATCACTCGCCAAGATCAGTTCCAAATCTGGCTGGAAGTGCACTAGGAGGTTTGCAGACTGAAGTGGTTTCTTGGATTTATCGAAGGCCATCTGCTGCTCAGTCTTCCAACACCATTTTGTACCTTGTCTAAGGAGCTTGTGGAGTGGTTCAAGTACTGTGGCGATGTCTGGTAGGAAACGATGATAATAATTCAGCATTCCCAGAAATGCACGCAGCTGTGTAACATTCTCAGGCACAGGGGCATTCTGTATGGCGTCCACCTTAGCTTCTACTGGCTTGATACCATGACCATTGATCACATAACCACAATAGGTGACTTCCGGCACCATGAAGAAACACTTTTCTTTTCGCAACCGCAGTCCAGCTTCTGAGAGCTTCTTCAGTACTGCTTCTAGATTGGGCATGTGATGGTCGTTGTCCTTCCCGCTGATGAGGATGTCGTCCATTCGCACAATGACATTAGGAATGCCTTGTAATAGGTTTTCTATAGTCCTCTGGAAAATTCCAGGTGCTGAGGAGACTCTGAAAGGCAGTCTATTGTTCTGAAATAGGCCTTTATGAGTGTTTGGTGGTAAACTTCCGCGACTCCTCATCTTAGGTCATCTGTTGATATGCCTGCGACATGTCTAGCTTGGTATATTTCTCACCACCTCCCAGCGTTGCCAAAAGATCAAAAGATATTGGATGGTTGTCAAGTTTGGATATTTGATTGACTGTGAGTTTATAATTGCCACAGATCCTAACAGTCCCATTTGGCTTAGCCACAGGTACAATGGGTGCTGCCCATTCTGAAAATTCCACCGGTGATATAATTCCTTCACGCTCTAATCGTTCGAGTTCAAGTTCGACATTAGTTTTCAACATGTAAGGCACTGATCTTGCTTTGATATTTTTGGGTTCGGCGCCTTGATCAACGTAGATCTTCGCTTTTACACCTTTTAGGGTGCCCAATCCCTCCATAAATACATCGGGTAGTTAGCAAGTACACTTTGAAGTGCTGATGGGGGGTTTATCTCGCTTGCCATGTGCATGTGGAAGATTGTGCTCCAATCTAATCGGAGCCAGTCTTGACCAGGCAAGTTTGGTCCGTTGCCTGCGACAATTAGCGCATTCAAATTCTTTTTCTTGCCTTCGTATTCTACTGGTACCATGACAGCTCCAAGTACTGGAATCCTTTCTCCTGTGTACGTGCTTAGAGCCGCTTTTGTTGTCTGAAGTGGACCCAATGCGTCACGCAATCTTCCGGAATTACGGTCGTTTCGCCTACGGGTCGTTTCGCCTACGGTCTGTTCGCCTACAGTTAGAGTCCATTCGCCTATGTTTCATATGTCAGTTCGCCTACGTGTTAAAACATGTGTTACAACAGTTGATTCATCTACTTTATGTGCAATCGCGCTCAGATCCTAGTTGGTCGATTCAATTCCTAGAGCGTGACTCATAAAGTCAAGCCTATCAAAGTTAAATAATTGTAAATAAGGAGCATTCGTTTACCTGAAAATTTCTGTTCTAATTTGATTCATCTTCGTTCGAGTAAAAACAAGTTATGTAAATATCGCATATTCTGAGTTGCGAATTACACGGTTCTCCAATTACACTCAGTAACCATGAAGCGTACTCATTTCGTGACATTTTAATTCTAATACACTTATTACATGCGGGGACGTATAGGTTATCCGAGTGACACCTGCCCCTTAAACAACAGATCATTCGCGTTTAATTCCACAGGGCGCAGAGGAGTTCATTGTGACGGTAGGCGAGGTGAAAAGTTTACTGAGCCGATCGTTCAATTCACCCTGTGTAAACTGTATAATTGACAATCAAACCGTCAGCGATCATAAAATTTAACTACAAAATATGTTACTCCTCCGCACTCTGTGTTAATTCTAATACACTTATTACATGCGGGAACGTGTGGGTTGTCCTAGTGACACCCGCCCCGTGATAAAATAATTCACATGTAACCCTTGCTATCTATTTCTGTCGGAGTTGCCTGTACTTCCTTCTCTGTATTCTCTTCAACTTCTTGTCTGAAACAAGCTTGATTGTTATTGACGTCAAGCGGGCTTCTCGATGAAGAAGTTCGATTAAGAGGTAAAACTGTAATCTGCATTGGCCACCGGCTCGGCGGTTCAGGGCGTTGTGCCACCCCTCTATATTGTTGTTGGTCCGGATCGGCTGCTTGAAGACACTCCAATCTTTTGGGGTGAAGATGGTGCTCTCAATCCACTGCTCCTGGATGTAGTCAGTAAGATTGTGGAGGGGCTGGGTATGTGCCAGAACGCTGAGGCGCACGAACATTGGTCTGATCTCGTAGTGAGGGAGGAACGGGAGGGCCATTAGTTTCCTTATGAACCGGTACGTTGCTTCATCATTACTGTATGCAGTTTGGAGGCCAAGCTCTTGCACCTGGCATAGACAAAAAGTTAAAATTTTTGGCTTTAAGGAAAACGTACGACTAGCGAACGGACTGCTAAAGCTGATGATACACAGGTTGATTATAATGGTTGACACTTGCGTTCTAACAGTTGTATATATTTGTTTCTTAAAAAAGGCTAAAGCTGTGAAATCACAATTTGTTTAATAAACTTTAATAATCAGTTTATTGCCTTTTATTCACCTTTTTTTTCGGCAGGGAAAAAAGAGTGCTTGACATGAACTAACCTTTCTCCAAAGAGCCTGGGTCCAGTGGAACACGCAGCCCTGAAGCTGTACTGCTGGCAGGATGGATCTAAGCGCCTTTCAGACAGCCCTTTCAAAGTCTAGGGTGACCTGCCGGACACTGGTCTGAATTGGCAGGATGCGGATTATTTTCTTCATTACCTAATTTTGTGAAGAGAAAAAGAAATGATGTTATACATGCCAGAAATTTTATTGCACTATGCTTTAGGATACATATATAACTCTAAATAGATAATGGCCTTTTTGTAGTCTTTCGTACTCTTCCCGGACATGAGGACGAACACCAGTGGTACTTGTTTTGCGTGATCGCTACAGCGAACGAAGGCATTAATCGTTACCAGCTGCTGGAAAGGTTTGCACACAAGTTTGAAAGTACCATCAAGATACCAAGACTTGGCTTTTGCGAGGGTCGTAAGTTGTTCGTCTGTAGCGAAGATGAGATGTCTTCTTTCCTTGAGGTAAACTTCTGCCTGGAAGAACCCTTGCGGAATGCAGTCTTTCATTATTTCGAAGTCGAGGTCCTTTGGATCCTCCGGGTGAAGTCTCTCCCGTAAACGGTTTGCAGCTCGAGCAATATGCTCCGGCTTAGAGAGTGCTGGACAACCCGCGTTCAGTTCATTCAACAAGACCTTAAAAAAAAAAAGGAAAATAAAAAACGTTACTTAACAATTATCAAGTGGACCGTCTTTCAGCTATTTTTCTCAAAAATGAAAAGTCTTTGAAAAGTTTATGTAGAATGTTTTAAATTGTCAAATATTTACGACAGAGAAAATTAGGTATTAGAAAACTTCGGATTCGAAAATTTCCCATTAGCTGAGTTCACTTGTAAGTCAGTAAGGTGCAATTTAAATATCTCTTCCACTATTGCTGAAGCTGGCTTGAACTTATCCTCCAGAGCCTTCTCTTTTACCAACTTTACGATTTTGGCTGCTGTCACTGCCCCTGGTTCTGAAGAATGGTTATGGGCGTTGGCCCCCGCTTGAAAAGTTCCATCCTGTTGGATTACCGTAGCCTTGCAAGCATTTCCTCGAGGACGAACCGTGCATTGCCAATATGTTGCATAAGACCGTTTGGACCTGACGTTGTAGCTGTATCCCAAGCTATCCACTAGTTTCGTTTTGCGACGCTTACTCCCTTCTTCTACTAGCTGGAATGTTACGTGATTGTTTGGGTTGGCCGTGTCAGTGTCGTCTCCCAGGAGAGGCTCTTCGATGGAAGATTCAATGATGCCGGGACTTGGCTCTAAGGGAAAAATGATAGTCCAAGGTTATACAATGTAGGTCATCAGTTCATCAGTTCATCAGTTGTAAAGTAGTATTGTCTATTTTGTTTAACTTCAGAGTTGACTAATAGGTAAAACTGGCGTTTCTAGTAAACACTTAGTATATCTAAGTATATCCTATAGGGGCCTCTTTGGGAAAAACACAAAACTGTGTGTATATTATATATATAGTTAATATATAATATAATATATAATAATATATATATACAATATATATATATATAGCTACCTTCCTCAATCCTTGTACCCGATGGAGGGCTTGGCGGGGCAGAGAACATAGTCACTTCCACGACTGTTCCAAGGTCTGATGGCGATGAAACGGGTAATGACAACTCTGGTAGAGCAGATTCGTATATGTTAATGAAAAGTCTCACCTTCTTTAGTTTAGGCGCCGCTCACGCTTCACAAGTCTACACAAAGACCGTAAACAGTGGTTTGTTTACTGCTCTGCTCGCGCTTTACACGACCACACAAAGACCGTAAACGGTGGTTAATTTCATTTTAATACACATCTTAATGCTCAGTTTTACAATCGCACGTTTCTTAAATCATTTTAAGCAAAATATCTTTCACACATTTGTAGACGACTGGGTTCCGCCATAATAAAGTTTTTAAAAACATTCGAACTTAGATGTTTTAGTGCGTTGTTTTTCTAGCCATCGAGGATAGAATGGAAGGAATAATACAAGGAACAAAGACTTTTAATAATTCCGATTTAAAGCTTCAACATCTGACTCGTAGGCGAACTGACATATAAGACGTAGGCGAATCGACTCTATTCGTAGGGGAACAGACCGTGGGCGAAACGACCCGTAGGCGAAACGACCGGATACCATCTTCCGTACGTTGCTTCATTTAATATCGTCTTTGACCCACCTGTGTCGATTTCCATCGTGTTTTTCCGTCCACAAAGTTCCAGATCCACTTTGAGCGATTTCTTTCGATCGCTGGACAAATGATTCATGGCATAGACATCATCTTGATCGTTGCTTTCTTTGACAAAATGCGTTCTTTGTTTACCATCCGGCTGGCGCCCATGTCTTCCTTGCTTTTGTGGTTTCTTCTTTCCTTTACATACTTTTGCCATGTGGCCTTTCTTTGGACATTTGTAACACACTTCATTCTTGTATTTGCAGCTCGAGGGATCGTGTTTTCCACTGCAGCGATAGCACTCTTGTTTTGGCTGAAACTTTGGAGGTGCAATTCCTTCGTCGACCTTGTTGACATTGTTGTCGCTGCTGGGCATCCTCCCGCCTAAATCCATTACATTCCTAGAAGCCATTTCGGTTGCTGTAGCGATTTCCACCGCCTTTTCGAATGTGAGCTCCCGTTCGCCCAACAATCTTCGTTGAATGCGATCATTGCTGATTCCACAGACTAGTCGATCCCGCAGCATGTCTTCTAGCGTTGTTCCAAACTTGCAATGCTCTGAAAGCCTTCTGAGTCCTGCGATGAACTCTGCAACATTTTCCCCTTCGAGGCGACTCCTGCTATGGAATTTAAATCGCTCGACGATAGCACTTGGCTTCGGCAAGAAGTGGTTTTCCAGCTTTTCCAAGATCTCTTTTAACTCCACATCGCCTGGTTTCTGAGGTTGTAATAAATCGCGAATTAACCCATACGTTTTGCTTCCACAAACACTTAGCAGGATAGCTCTTTGTTTCTTTGCATCTTAAATTTCATTTGCGGCGAAGTACTGCTCGAGTCTCTCCGCGTATTGAGTCCATGATTCCTCCGACTCCTTAAATTCCCCAACGTTCCCGTAGGTTGCCATGTTTATCCTCGTCGCCAATGTAATAAACCAAGGACATGAATATTGTAGATCTACATGCTTTTTAATTAGGTCGAAGAAAAGAACTGAAATCATACATTGCACAACAGGGATATCCGATTACTGATCACATGATTCTGCATGTGACTAGATTATAACAGTAATGTTACAAACAGATCTTAAGTTTGTTGTATATATCTCATGGTCTTCTGGATGGAGCCATCCATGGACATAAATTGTAAACCCCAGACTATCATCAATCATCAACTCAAATTCTGGAAGCATTACCGCACTTTTCTTTTGTAATAGAAGTCTATCTTCTAGTTCCTGGAATGTCCATTCCTGCAATGTTTTCAAAGTTTTTACTCATTTACAGAGGTCACTGAAGCTACTATAGTATTACTGGTGGCTCTCTGTAACAGGTTTGTCTTGTACCACAGATCTCAATGGATGTGCAACAGGTTTCACCATGTCATGACTTCTCTTAGGCATATTGAAAGTTGGCAAGGCTCCAAACTTGGGTCTTTTTTTTGCCATCTTTTCCGATTGAACTGAAATAAAAATAAAAGAAAAGCGATCTGTAACAATCTGTATAAGAATATAAAGTTCAAACAAATGAGACATCATTTATGTGGTCGGTCGTGTTTACATGGATACCAGATATGTTTATTACAGACAACTCGAGTACTTACATGTCTCTATATCGTCAGGATCAAAATGTTTCTCACATGTAAACACCTTGCCATTATTGATCTGATTTTGGAAGTTGTTGTCAATGACTCTTGTCTTCGTCAACTCATTTAGCCACTCTTCCCACCACTTCTTGTATTCTGCATTTCGTGGTGAGGGCAGTTAAAAGATACCTATCCCTTTAGTTCTAAGGCACGTACCGCAACCAAACACCGAACAGTTGTCACCAGGCAGTCTATTTTCAATACAACAAACTCAGAAAACGATTCCAGTCCAAAGAACTACATTGCAAAGCTTTAAAAACAGCTCAGTTCAAGTCTAACTCTTCGAACGACGCCGTATTGGATTTGTGTGTGCATGGTCATTGTCATGTGACTTCAAATAAAGAAGACAATAACTGTTTCTTTGAAGTTTACTGTGTTTCATAACCAGTTTGCTTCATTAACTATGATTTAGTAGTGTAAGTTGAGTCGGGCAGCCGTAGCTGATGTGGACCTGCCTAATACTAATTTATAAAAAATGTTTTTACAATATTTTGATTAATATACAATATTAATTTAAATATCTATACACAAGTTTAGACTCCTTAAGTGTCTAAGAATAGAAATAACTATGTATGTCTGTGGTATATTGGTTGTGATTCAAATGGAAATAATTATAAATTCATATTGAAGTTAGTGTACTGAGAATAAACCAGCCTCAGAGTGGGATGTGTTCAGATTGATTACCAATCTGTATCCATTAGCTAGGTGCAAAATGATTGCAAACCACACATATATGATTAAATTTAGATCTAATGCAGGGATCTTTGAAGATGAAAATCAATAAAATAAAGCAGAAAGCAATATATACAAACAATGTAAATTTATAGTAAATAACCTAGTCTTAATTGATAAGGTTTTAGATATATAAAGGATTAAGAAATTCAGTGATATCAAATGTTGTGTCCTAATATCTCTAAATTTCTCAATGCTCCAACAATTTTAATCACAAAGAAAGATGATAGATAAATGAATAATGAAATATATACCAAAGTATTATGAATATTATGATCAACATTTAATAATAATGAAAACATTTGTCCTCATTCAAAATAGATAAGCTTTCTTTCTCAAAGGTAAAGTTATTGATGGCCTTATGATTATATTTCAGATAGCTTTTAAATGAGTTGATGTTCTAATAATTTTTAACTCAGGTTGGCATAGTGTTCCATAACATTGTCAATCTATGCTTGAAGGAGAGTCTCGCAATTTTTTTGTAAAGTCTTTCCATCTTAAATTGCTCACTTTGTCTGGTCTTGTGCTGCTTCTTGTGCTCTCTTTCAATGTAAATGGGTCTTGGATCTGTGTGAGAGCTGTTTGTAATACACTTGGTGAATGTGTTTCAGGAGTGAGTTTATGTAGATGTATTAAAAAGGGTGACAATTTGTCTGTTTAAGGACTTTGAAGTTGCCAGCTGCACAATGTATTCTGTGAATATATCTGGCTGCTTTGGCATGGATTTCTTCTAATTTATTGAAGAGTGGTGTGGAACAACCACCCTGGACAAGACAAGACAAGACAAGACAACTTTATTTTACCAGGGTAGCCCAGTCAGCTGCAAGGCTGGTATCCTTAGGGGCCCTGGACAGAGATACGGTATGTGATTTGTGGTAAAACTGTTTTAAAATGAATATCTCCAAGTGTTCTAGATGGAAGGTGAAACATTCTTTCCAAGGTTCCAAGTTTCTTTTGAGCAGTTCTTACGTAAGTTATCAATGTGACATGACTAAGACAATATACCGTCTATTTCAACACCAAGGCAGCACGTTGACATGAAAAATTTCATACTATTGGAGTTGTAACTAAGGCCCGGTTCAGGCACCAATCTTTTCATGAGCTGAACCTAATTCCTTGAATTAAGTACATGAAAAGATTGGTGTCTGAATCAATTTGGAATGGCTATTTCAATCTGGAATGGCTCACTCGTTCTTCCCCCCTGGCTTGGCTGAGAATTTTGCCCTTGGAATGGCTTTGATCCATATGCCATACTTTCCATGTGCTGATCTTAATGCATAAATTATTATAATGTATTTTGCAAGAAGTTTACCTCAGAGAGTATGCGTACTTGAGCAGGTATATGTCACGTGCTCAAAATGGTGACGTGGAGAGCTGATTATGCTTGTCAAAGCAGCAGCAGTGAAGATATGTGTAGTTTGTGTTTTTCTAACATAAAGTGTGCTTGCCTTAAATGTCAAATACCAATTTGCAATTAGTGCTCAACATTTAATGATAATGAAGCAAGCAAGGGATGGGCCGTAGAAAAATGCATGGCGTACCTGCAAACCCTGTTTGAAAGAAAAGACATTGGAGCACAGTGATGGCAGGAAAATAGAACAGCATGAGAGGGTAGATGGTCAAATATGGTCAAATATGGTCAAATATGGTCAAAATTTGATGTAACCAAAGAACCAGAAAAGTATGTCTTGAAATTGTTATTTTAAAGCTGTAGACCTGTAACACTGTACACAATAACAACACTACACAATAGGTAGGCAATATTTTGGAAATTCAAATTAAAAAATAATTTCTTTGCATCTGTTCAGCTAATATTTATTTATAAGCCAAAAATAAAATAGAAAAATATTTTTCTGGCTGTATTTTGTGGAACTTACAATGTTGCATTGCGAATATTACTCAAATATAAATTTAAAGCACTAACCAGGTAGCTGTTGGTGTTACCCTAGTTGCCATATGAATCAGCACCTATTGCAAGGTCATTTTATGATAATTGAGAGAAATTTCTCATTTCTCTCGAAGTCCTTTTTTCTAGAAAGTTCTTGAAAATTCTGTGAGTGTGGATGGCAAGATACATTTGAAGACTAACATACCGTAGTTATTCGGTTATAAGGCACACTCGGCTATAAGACGCACCCCCAATTCGGTAACTTCATTATTGAATGTTTTCAAACTGAAAATATCGCTAAAATACTTGGTTATAAGGCGCACTGTTGTTTGGGGAGTAAAGATCAGTCAAGTTTATTGTAAATTCTTTCATAAACTTGCAAAAAAGCGAAAAAGTCGCGTATTGATTATAGTTTACTGTTAATTAACTAAAGCAGAATTGTCGCACATGCGACCACGTGCACAAACAAAAGCCTTGATTAAACAAGAATTAACATACCGCCGAGAATGCAGGTCTCAGTGCACAAAAAAGGCTGAATGGATGAAGAAGGTATTTATCTCTTCGCTTGTTTATTCTCGTTTTGTTTTGTGACGTATCAAATAACTGAACACGTGCTCTCGAGCACGTATCATATCTATGCAAATTTGACTTCGCTCGTCTTTTCAGAACCACCATATTTATAAAAGTCAATGACCAAGACTGTGTATCCTTTTATTTGCTTGAAATCGTACCAGTAACTGTGATAAAAAAAAATTGTTTCGGGAAAATATTCGCCTATAAGACGCACCCAAACTTTGCTGGTAATATTTAGTAGAAATTAGGAATTTCTTGAAAAAAACAGTGCGCCTTATAACTGAATAACTACGGTAAAGTAAAAGATTTTTTATCAAGTTTTTCATAAATGTAGTACGCTGTGGCTTAAATGTGGTGGCTGTCCCCTGTTTTGGCACTTGTATGTCCTCCAGTAAATGTAATTTCTGATGGTTGAGTGACTAGGAACAAATTAGTCAGAAATTACTATTCTGATGGCACGATTGAGAGGTTTTAGTATTCTCAGGGGAGAGTTTTGAGTATTTAATGTTTTAGCGGGGAATATTAATCATTCTAGCTCAGTCAGTCTTTCTGTTTGCTGTTGTCAATTTAGTTAAATTTTTTCTATGGAGTTATGGGTTTTTGTACCTCTTCCCCGAGGTTCCGTGCCACTGCATTAGATGGGGAATACATTTCCACATATTTTTTGGCCACATCTAAAGAGTGGTTTTTTAGTGGTT